CCACAAAACTCGTGCGAGCACAAACAAGTTTGGCTGCCTCCATTAACCGAGGCCAATGTCACATCAACGCCTATAATCTCAAAAAGGTGCCGCGTATCTCATAATCCATATCTGAGATTACGGCGTATGATAATTCGAACACCCAGCTTGCGTTACCATTTGCCCGCACTGGCATTCCGACTTGCCACCAGCTGGCCGACAAATTTGCTTTCATTTTTCTATGAAGTACGCAAGCTGCTCATATGTATAATTACTTTGGCCAATGCTCGGGGCGTCCGAAGACTTGCAGTGTGCCGCGAAGGAGCCCGCGGCTGTGGGGCGGATTGCTGAAGCCGCTGGCGCTTCGGGGATAAACATCACAGACAGCACCGCAAAGTGCTGCGGGCTTTTGGGTAGTGTGCCGAGCTAGGCTTTGAGGGGGGCGCCAAGGGCGCGTGAAGGCGGGTCAATGCCTGAAGGGGCGCCGTAGGCAGTGCGTACAGTGCTGTACGGCGCTGTTTTCCGTGTGTGTTATGGCTGCGGCACCAGACCGCAAAGCCAAAAGGCTAGGGCTGGCAAGCTGCAATTGTCTGCTGAGCGTTGAGCATCCGGCCTGGACCGCGGACTTGGCGGCCGAGCCCCTGCTGTGTGCCGGTAACGGCACCTCAGACTCATACGCTTACGCCCAAGCAAGGGGCTGTCGGTGGCAGGTCACGGACCTCCCGACTACATGTAACGGCCAATGACTCTTAGCCGTGTCTGCTAGGTTACAGAGAGACACCATCTCTTCAACAGGTTATGAGCCCCGGCTTCCTGCCTCCCGCGCTCTGACAAGCATAGCTCCCACAGCATCAGCACTGCGGCAACTAGCACAGCTCCCACCACGTTGACACTACCCTAGCTACCGGCCTGTACGGATGCAGGGAGCCCCCGCCCTTTTTCCGGCTTCGAGGAAGCCGACACCCGACTTGTCTTCGACCGATCAGCATAGACGTGAAGGGCAGTTTATTCTCCAAGCGTGCACAATCCTGTTATAAAACATTGCATGGAGTTTGGCATGCCTGTTCCGCGACCTGTGACCCGGAACCAATGTGTGCTACTCAGTGTTAACGCTTTGGGCTGAACAAGTATGCATGGACGAGCCCCACTGGGCTGGACAGACAGATATCTAACGGCAGGGTCTCCTCCAACGCATAGTGAGAATGCGATGCTCAAATATGCAAGTTAGGTCTGTTTTATCACACAAGGCGCACGGCTCGATAAAGTGTTACCGGTCTAAGTGGAGGGCTTCCCTGCGAGTGAGGCGCCTAGGTCCTGTAGTTCTAAGAATGCAATGAGGACCGAATGGTCAAGCTCCAGTGGCAAGTTATGCGGATCTTAGCAAGAGTTCGTGTTGCACCGCACAGGCTTCTGTTCCATGGATCTAATCAATTGCCCCTTTAGGTTCATTCATTGGGCACAGCTCGTTTTCCGCTGTTGGAATCACCTGGTTGAGAACTATGACCTTTATGTTTTTGACAGGGGCCCAACCGGGCCAACCGGGGGTTGATGCTGCGTCGACATAAAGCAGCGGATGGGCGTGCCGGTGCACCTCGACTGCTTTATTCGCCTAGCGCCTCACCGCGCGCTTCTTGGTGTTAGGCTTTGTGTTGTGAAGTGAAGTTGTTGTTCTTCTTCTTCTTCCCCTTTTCCAGTGTAGCTGTGAATAAGGAATATGGTAGCAGCAGTCATCGTCGCTTTGTAACAGGCGTGGACCACAGGCTCAGCATACGTTGGAGATGGATATCGGACCCGTCACTGGTGGCGCCCCACGCCCAGGCAGCGTCTGGGAGTACGTTACTGCAACCGTGCGCAGTGTGCCTTATGGGCCCAACGGGATGCGGTTGTTGGCGGACTTGTCCATTGGCCCCTCACCACCGGGCCAATCCGCTCAGTCAGAGAGTGTGGCAGGGGAGGAAGACGTGGAGTACGGGAATGAGGAGATGGATGAGGAGCAGGTCGAATTCCAGGAGGCAGGTGTGCAGGATAGTCGAGGCACTTGGCATGCTCATGGGATTGTTCACTTGCATGGCTTGGGGAGCCGTGGGTAGCACATGCAGTCACGGCGTGGGCACACAAGGTTGTCAGGGTTTTAGGGGCCCACAGCTGCGTGTTGACAGCCGCTCCTTGTCCACATGATCGGGTGTTGGGAGGTTGTGGGGCAAACATGGAGCAAGGCAAAAAAGGGGACCGGTGGAGGAAACCATAACAGGAGGGGGCCCGGGGGGTGTTCTTTGTGCGCAGTGTGATGCCATGTCGGCATGGTAGTTGCAACGATGTATATAACACGACAGCACGCCTGAAACAGGATTTCGCCCCACCGCCACATGATAATACCATACATGAAGGTGCCGCCGACACCATCACCACGGACGATGAAGATGGCACTGCACGTGGGCGGGGCATGGTCCTGCACCCACCGCTTGGCGATGTTGACGAGGATGATGCGGAGTGTCCAGCAACATCGTGGTGAAGGGCAAGAAGCGCGGTGCTCGCCGCGGCCGGCTGTCCCGGCTCATGGCAGCCCAGCCTGGTTAAGAGTCACACCCGACTCAAGAAGGATGAGACACCTACAGGATTAAGTTTACAGCACCTTTGTAAGGATTAGGTTTGCAGCTGGCATCTCAGGACGAGGGTTGTGGCACCAGCTCAAGGGATGGGGGTGGGACCCTGGCTGACAGCTTTCGGTTGTGGACACAGCTGCAGGATGGGGATGGCCTTGGTCGAAGGGATTGGGGATGGGACCCTGGCTGGCAGGATGGGATTGGGGGTTCCAGCTGTAGGATGAGGTTGGGATTAGCACCGGCCCTTAAGATGGGGGATGGGGGACGGTTGCCCCTGCCAGGATGGGAGGAGGGCTGACCAGTACCCACCCCCAGGATTGGGGGATTAGACCCCCTTTGCAACCCTCTGGCACAATTAACCATGTCGGATCTTGTCCTAGTGTACAAGCGCAACAGTCGGGAGCTGACGGACTGCAAGAACTATCGCGGTATTGCAATTCGGGGGTTGCTTGCGAAATGCTATGCTTTAGTGTTGGAGAGAAGACTGTCTAGGTTCGCAGAATCGGAGCCATTGACACTGCCAGTACGTCACTGGCGCCAGGCCGGGTTCCGGAGGCGTCTGGGCACGCGACACCAATTATTTGCATTTCGCCGTTTTGTCACGCGTCACGCAAGGCCAGGACAATATGGCCTCTTGGTGCGTCAGATAGATTTCGAGAAGGCTTTTGATACAATGGACCGCAATTTACTCTGGGCGCGGCTGAGAGAACGTGGGTTGTCGGGCGAAATGCTATAAGCATTTCAACGCTGTTATAGGAAGGTGGAGTTACGGGTGAAGGTCAACGGCAGGTGGGGGACGCCTTTTGAGTCAAGAGCACGGGTAAAACAGTGCTTCCCACTGAGCCCTGTCCTATTTGACACGTTCATAGCGACATTTGCGGATTACATTGATGAACATGATCGGAGGTTTGGTCAAGTACATGACCCCGCAATAGGTAGCCAGGGGGTACCGGAGCTGCTGTGCGCAGACGACATAAAGCTGTTCGGCACTAATTGCGCGCGTATCCAGTTTCTCTTTGGACATAACTTCTGTGTTTTGTGAAGCGTTTGGGATGAGCTTAAACATGGGTAAGTGCGGGCTGATGGTGTTTGCTGATAGATAAGGTTCATATGATGCACTTCGTAGGGTGCAGAGGGCCTGAGCTTCGCAGGCCAGCCCCTCCCGATTAAGGAGCGCGCGAAATACCTCGGGCCTCGCTATGGAACCGGGTTTGCGTTCAAATCCTGCCGCATGGAGCTATGTGATGTGGGGGCAAAAAGCAGTGTTTGTGTTACTCCGCAAGTTGGAAACAAACCGCCTTCACGTCCCAGACATTATGCTACTGTGCTTCGAGGCCCAAGTCCGGCCGATACTGTCGTACGGTGCTGAGGCGTGGGGTCCAGACGCTATCTGGGAGGTACTAGGGAAACGGGTAGAGGACGGGGGACGGAATGGCCGAGATGGGCAGCGAAGAGGGTCGGGACCGAGTGGAGAGATTGCGGCGCTCCTGACAAGATGGGGGAAATGGGTAAGAAGTTCGCGAAGGACTGCGGTAGTCTTTGAGAGGTCCATGGCGGATCCCATGGTGCAGAAGCTTTTGGATTGCTGGTACAAAGCTACCTCCCATTAGGCAATTTTTCGCGGAAACGTAGCAGCTACCGCTGCTCTATCTTTGGGCACAACTGTTTTTCCGTTTTTGGAACCGAGTTACTAAGCAAACCGCAACGCTGGCGCGTGCCTTGTTGGAGGGGGGGTGAGATCGCGGCATGGCTTGAAGCAGGGCGACCGCATGGGCACTTCTGGGCAGGGAAGATGCTCGAAATCGCCCGTTATCTTGGCTGGATTACAGACCGCACCTACGCGAGGGGAACAGTAACGCAGAGAAGCGCGGGTAATGCGGGACTGGAGCTCCCACTCGACCCGCTGCTAAAGGAGTTTTGAAGAAGGTTGTTGGCAGATTGGGAGCGGCCGGAGATCACAGTGGACCCCAGAGATTTCCCTGAGTATACTGGGAGGGACGTGAACTTGGATAGACCAGGTGTCACCGCCTGTCGCTATAAATGTGATGGGAGTAGAATACTCGCCAGATGATCACAAGGCGAAATTAGGGCACCTAAAGGTGAGTATGCCGAGAACAGTCCGGACCACCCTCATGCGTTTTCAAGTGGGATCTGGATGTGTCACGGTTCGCACGCCAACCGGGCCGTAAGCCACGGGAAGGACGGACATGTCGGGTTTGTGGAGGGGGCCAGGTAGAAGACGAGCTGCACGTGCCGTTGGAACACCCTGCTTGCGAGCCGCTAAGGCAAGCAGTTGGGTTCCCTACGGATGTAGATATGCGCAGCGTAATGGGGTCCTTTGATGCGACGAGGTTGGGAAACCTACTGTTGCAAATTCACAGAGCGCGGAAGGAGATCTTACGGGAATAGTCTATTTTAGGTTATTTCAGACTTCAAATTGTTTCTATGTGCGCCCCCTGACGGCACCGTTGCGGGGAGCACATGTTACCAGCCAACGGCCGGTACAGCAAAATGTAACGATATGTTATATACACTGATCCCAATCGCCACTTTGGATCACCAATTCATCGTATCAGCACGGTAATTATGCCTCGCCTAATCCTAAATAGCATGTTCCTCTCCTTGCCGAGTCCTGCTATACTGACGCCCCCAAACATTAACAGATATAATAGACGGATCAGACTATCTGATATCCCTGCATTGGCGTCAATGCGCCACTTGCCTTCCCATAATCGAATTCCTTCCGCGCCCGGCGCCCCAATCCCTTGAATTCTGCCGCCATCCAAAGTTGACAAGTATCGTCCTGTGTGCGGGCTCATAGCGGCTGTTGTTGGTGAGAAACCATGTCCTACAGGGTAACGGCTAACGGGCATTCCAAATCTAACGCCGAAGGGAGTTCACTAATACGATTTTGTATGAACGTCAACATTGGTCCACAGTTGTTTGTTTGGGCTGTATGACAGGGACGTTTGGTGCTTAAAAAAGTTTGGCGCATTAAATGTGCACACTGTGACATTCCCTTCCCTACAGATGGACCGGCAAAATTTCCGACATTTTTTGAAAAATGCAACGCTCATGTTAGCTTTCAGCATTCTTCAAGCCGGTGCAAATTCTCCACGACCCTGGGAACACTTCTGGGGTTTTAATGCCCCTACATGGCATGATGCCCAACCGCCAAACCCCTGCTACGAGTATTACCGCACTACATCCATACTCGAGTGCTCCCAACATATCAGCGAGGCGTTGCCTGTTGTCGTGCGCAACTGCATACTTGATACTGGGCAAAACTCCGGTGTGTTGATCCTCCAGCGCCACAACAACAACTCCTTCAGCTATCGAAAGACTAATGAGCAGGAACAGGACCAGCCGCAGTTGGGTGCGGCAATATATATGCTCCGCGTCGTCGGGCCTGATGGCGTATGGTTGTTGGAACCTACCTACTGCCAGCCCGACCTCGCATGCGCGACTTACTCCTTCATTGCGCCTGGACGCTACTCAGTTGAGGTGCTGATGGTGTACACCAGCTTCTCTTTCTCCAACCCCGGAGCAGCTACACCCGTTACGGCGCCTTGGGTGGGTTACCTAACATTCGAACTCGCCGAGACCGCCAAGGTCACATACGGAAGATCCATACCCAGTCTGCGTCTAATTTCGTGGACGACGACGCCTGACTACTCCGTAGTGCAGCATATCGATGGCCACTCGGCGGCAGGAACAAGGATAGCACTCCAGTTGCACCAGCGTAAGCGGAAGAAAGGAGATTCGGATGGCGACTCTCGGCCCATGCTGCCACTGTGTGGTGGCACGGGCCGGCACCCGGGGCGGTGGCGTTTCGGAACCTGGCCAACACCCGATGCAGCGCCATTGCTACGTACCTGTATTTGGGGGAACAGCGTGCCGCCACAGGACAACTGCAACAGTACTGCACGGTTGGCCCTGCGTGCCCAACCCCGCCCCGCAACACTCTACTGGCAGCCGTACGGCTGTCTTATGGCTGACGTTGCTGGCCTGCTGGACGCCGCAGCATCCGGGACGCTGCCGGTGATGACGCCGCCGTTGCTCCCGGCCGGCAGCCTCATAACGCAGGAGCGCTGCTTCCCTCCCAGCCGCCATGTATGCTTTGTAGGAGACTCGCACATGCGCTACCTGCACAACAGCTTGGTGATGTGGCTGAGCAATTTCACGGTCACGATAGACAATAAGGTCAAAGACATCCTGGAATCAAACTGCACCACCCATTTTACCGTCACTTGGGGTACCGATTGGCCTCGTAGCCCAAGCCCCGGCCAGAACCCCGTCCTAACACGCAATTGCACTGATGTCGTGGCGAATGTGGGACATTGGGCTGCATCGCATCAAGCCGGCACCGCGCCACACAGTGCAGCCACTTACGTATCGAGTGTCATGAATGTACGGCGACGGCTACTTGCCTTACAGCGCTCTATGGAGAAACGCGGCCGCAGTGTTCGCCTGTTCTGGGTCACATCAAGTCTGCCATCGCTGCGGACGCACCTAGAGCTGGCTGGCAGGGACTGGCGTACGGAGCCTTACATGCTGCTGTACAACCGGCTGGCTCTGGATGTAATGCGTGGCAAGTTAAAGATGGACACGGATGGAGCGACAAATGTTGGTGAAGAACGGGCCGGCGGCGGCAGGGACAGCGACTACAGTGATGGCGAGGAGTATGGCAGTGGGAGCAGAAACCAGGAGGTGCAGCCCATCCCTGTAATTGACACTTGGAGTCCTTCTCGCATACTCTCGGACACGACCCGGGATGGTACCCACTTCGAAAACACGGGCCCGGTGGGTACTGTGGAGCTACTGGCGCTGCTTCAGGCGCTCTGCAGAACACACGAAAACGACGGCCGCCATTTACACCGCCACAGACATGGCCGGGGGGCAGATTGGTAGAGGTGGTGCACATGCAACATTGAACCTTTTGGTCCCCCTGTATGCCGTACATCGGCTTTTTGACACGGATCCAGGGAAGGCTAATCCTGAGCCCACGATAGCGCCATGAAGATGAAGAGCGGAGGAGTAGTGTTGGTTATGACAGTTGGTCGGGATACAAGTACAATGGCGCTGGTTTTGTCTTCATTGATATCTCTGTCACGGGAACCATCAGGGACCGACACTTTCGTATGAGCGTGTGGTTACTACTGTGCGGCTACACAACACCACTTCGTGATATGGACGGATCATGGGCGTTGCCGTTCTCACTCGTGAGGTCAGAAGACATATTAATAACAGAACTGTTATGACCATGAGGCGGATTGTCTTTCAGCGCTAGCTGATGCGACGGTGGGCCCCAGTTTGTTGACTAACCAGCTGTAGCTCTACAGCTCAGCTCAGAACCCTGCATAAAAGCGCTGCGGTCATTGGCGATGCTTCTGCCCATGTATCCCCTCATTCCCAACATATTTTCATGCTCAGAATGGGATTGGCTGACGATAAACGCAAGTCTCGGACGTGTTATCCTATAATTGCTGTTTCCTGATGTCGCTCCTGGGTGCGCATGGCAGCTGTGCCGGCACTGGAATGCAGGTGGGTGGTCCTGCCAAGGCTGTGGCTGCCACTGCGACAGTCCTTGTGGTTCCTTGCATGCACCCCCCGTCCTGGTGCCCCGTCCTGGCTAAGGGGGGCTTCCTGCCCTCAGGAGGCCCGGGCCAGCCGAGGTCAAACACGCGACGCTCAGACATGGCGGCATGTGCTAAAAGTGAAGCAGTCCTCTCGCGCGAAACGGTGTACACAAATGTTGCGCTGGGTGTACTCGCGACACAAACGATGAGCTGGAGCATGTGTCCTCGATGCCCTCCGCCATCCGTGATTGGTCTGCGGCCTTATCTGCTGGCCCCCTGCCTCCCTCGTCACATCCCGAGGATAATCCAAAGGTGATGGCGACATTGCGGGCTTCCTCTAGTGCATTTCATGAGGGTGGGCAGGCGGTCGCCTGTGAGAACTCCACCGCACTGCTGTGCCAGGCCGGTGGATCTGCGTGGATGGGTCTGATGCTCCTGGTGGGCAGGCTTAATGTGTCCAGGAGATGGCGTTTCCTAGGGACCCCACCCCGGGGCCCTTGCTCTGGTTGCGCCACATTCCCGTTCACCTGTCCAACTTCTGCAAGACCGCCCCTATGTTCGTCCTCACCCACACCCAACCGACGGTTCATGGGTTTGTGATGGCGTCCGGCAAATGGTTGTTCGGCTGCTAGGGCCGCCTGGTCCACAGTGTCGCTGTAGGGTGGTCAGATGGCGCCGTCGTTGCTAGAGAGAGGTAGCATCGGCGTCATGTTTGGATTGAGACCTTCGGAGCAAAGACTATGGCGGGTGTCTGGCATCCCCGTGGTAGCGTGTCCATTCTTCTCGACAAATACGGGCAGCTCCGGAGCCAGGACGGACAAAGGCACTGACGGGGGAAAGCAAGCGACTGGAGAGGGAAAGGAAAAGCGGGCCTGGTAAATTTCGGGCAGTGTGTATTGCTGGCATCACCCTTTTTTACTTGTTATCAGCGGTGCCGGCATCGGATGCGACAAGTGATTACAGGGGTGCAGAAGCTATGTTACACGGGTTGTCGTACATCTTATATGCACACAATGATCCACAGCCAAGAGTTGGTTGCGGTTGGGATGCACTGGTGCATAAGATCCCCCCCTCAAGTGGCTCTGCGCTCCTGCTTGCAGCCCAAACGTTCCAGAGCGGATCTTCTTTTGCCAGGCCCTCACCCAGCTCTTCTTTGGTGACGGCCCGAGTACTCTCCTGCAGTGTCAACCTTGCGGCCGGCTTCTCTTCTGTCGCTCTGTGTGGTGTGTGGCACAGCACCTGGATTTACGGGACCGGTCGTTGTGAACAGGCGTCGTGGTAAGGCCTTGTACTCTTCCATAGTTGCCAATAGTTTACTCATCCCAGTTATAGGCAAGCCAATGAGTACGCCATGCCAGTGATGAGGCAACGGTCAGTAAGAAAAATCTATGCATCCGCCTCGGGGACGTGACAGCTGGGTCCACCTGCGCAGGCATACTGAAAGCTGCGTCAGATATTGCAAGATCGGGCACTAGCAGAAGGGACAAGCTGCGTCGGCTTCCTCGAAGCCGGAAAGTGGGCGGGGCCCCACTGCATCCGTACAGGCCGGTCGGTAGGGTGGCATGTGTGACAATTGATGGGTAGTGTCAGCTTGTTGCAGCAGTACACACAGACACACACACACACACACACGCATACGCGCGCACACACACACACACACACACACAGTCACACACACACAGTCACACACACACACACAGTCACACACACACACAGTCACACACACACACAGTCACACACACACACAGTCACACACACACACAGTCACACACACACACAGTCACACACACACACAGTCACACACACACACACACGCATATTGCTTTGCGATACAGCAATTGGTGATTGGCCCTGAGAAAGCTTATAAACCTGTCTCGTAAATTGGCGATTTTCCAGAAACGGCGTGCCCACGGCAGCGGGCTTCGCTCACACTCTCGGCTGAGTCAGTGAAGGAGACAACGTCGCTGCCAGACGACGGTGCGCACGGCCAAAAATTATCGGTACCTGATGATGTAGAAGGCATTGTACGGCACAGCAATTGGTGACGACACTCCCCGGAAAGCGTGCGATCATTTGCACTGATACCACGTTGGATCATTAATTCATCGTATCAGCACGGCATGCGTTTTCGAGAGAAGCCAACACCGCGCATGAAGCGGTGTAAGGGATTTGTGTTCGTTACCGAGTAGGTATGGTTTGGCTTTGATCAGTACGACTCTGTGTCGTGCATGGCTTTGTCAGACTATTTAAGGCGTTCCGACATCATCATCTGTAACCTTAGTATTCTTCTCTTCCTTGTCTCTCAGCCGATGTCGGGCTCTGCAGATCGGGCAAGTTAGGAACTAATGCTTCCTCCAGTCGCCAACTGGAGCCAGTTCCTTTTCAAGAGGTATTGCAAAGCTGTGCAGCTGAAGCTTGAAGTTGCGGCTTTGCACAGTCGCATAAGGAATGCATACGACAGTTGCCTGTTTGTACCGGAACAGCAGTAACCTAAGTAATACTGAGTTTACATGCTACGTTACGTTAAGACTTTTTGGGAAAAGTGGTTAAATTTTCATGCATATCCGCACTGAGTAATTATGTCTGAGCTAACTGGTCATATGGTTGCGCTTTGTCTCGGATGGTCCGCCGTTCTGCAAGGCGGGTCGTATGGCAAACCCCTAACTCGCAGCCTTTGTCCAGGTTAAAGCGTGATTAAATCTCTGGCTGGTAAAGAGATAAGTTAAAATGCAAGTTCCATTTCACCGGTATCTCCCCTTAGGGTTAAAGTAATATGGCCGAAGCTAATCATATTATTTAAACTCCACGATCGATACAAATCCAAACTGCAACGACTTTCGCGCCTCTGTTTCCCTAACACATATGCTGCAGCAGTGCGAATGAGGGAACCCGGAAAACCAAGCGAACTTGAGCGGCAAAGCTCTCTTCGTTTTGCGTTTGTGCTGGTCATGATGTATGCTGTTGTAACTTCCGCGCAGCCAATAGGGTTGTCGGCCATTTTGGCTGCGGCCAAGACAGGTGTCCTCGAGAACCGCACGTATGTGGTATCGCCTCCAGGATTTGTTAATGTAACATCGGACCTTAGCATAAGCGGGTCCAACAGTCCCTTCAACGGCGGGGCTACCATCGTTGACCTCTCGGGGGTGCCGCAAGTGAACTTAACACGACCTATTACTGTGTTCAACGGTGAGTACAATTTCCATATAGCAAGCCCCACGGATGCTGTCAGCCCGCAATCTAGTACGGGCAATGTACGACCTTACGGTTGCACAACGTCTGTACCCACCTGTCGTTAGGCTTACCAGAGGGCCACATGCCGTGGATGACCGCACAAATGCAATCGGCGAAGTGTTCATCCCTCTCTATTTATTTACCAGGGTAGCATCGTCAGCTCGCAGGGTGCGTGCACCGCCGGTCCATCAGGGGAATTACCGCGTGAGCCCCATGTAATGCGATCCGCCGAGTAGTATATCGTCCCGCGAGAATGCTCGGGACAGCTCCGGACTTGCGGCAGCCCTGGGGAGCATCTCCGACTGCGTGAGGAGGATGGGACCTGCAGACGCCAAGTACGCACCCATGAGCCCACCGCGTACCTGCCCTCACTCACACGGCAAACCTCCTCTGCCGAACGCTGCCTATTTTCGCAGGCGCATCGCTGCGCCTGAGCAACCTAACACTCAGGGTCGCACCCTTGCCAAGTCCGTACGATCGGCAAATCTCTATGCTGCAACACGTCATCAAGTTGGTCGACGGCGGTCGGGCCTCGCTTGACAATGTCTTAATCGAGTCGTACAACTGTAGGTAAGATGGGAAAACAACAAAGTAGCGCGAGGTGCCTGGAGCCACCACCAGCACTTACCACCAGCGGCATGCCCACGGCCCGCATCCCCCTCCTCAAGCGCATACTGTGTGCCAAGGATGTCAATACCCGGTACTGCTGTTATCAGGCAGTCAGAAAATCCAAAGTTTCATTGCTAGGTTCTCCTTGTTCTGGGCTGCTATACCTGGTTCCTTTTCCTCACCACTGGCCCTTGGCCCCTGCGACACCTCCTCCCTCATCTCTCCCACCTCCCCGCACTCCCCAGCTACCTGCAGGACTTCATGCGCACACTCTGCACCCTCACAGGCTGGAAGTACAACACCACGGAGCTTCAAGTCCTTAACGGTGTCGTACTGTACGGCAAGGCGGGTATGGTGCTAAGGGAGTCAGCTCCCGGCAGCGATGCGGAGATGGAGGTGATGACAACCCTCACGAACTGTCGCCTGACATGTCCGGGGGGTCTGCCCCCACCCTGGACCTGCAGCGCCACCTACACAAACGGCTCGAAGGACTTCCAAACGAAGATTCAACAGCTCCTGCCCAACACCGCCGAAATCCTCCTCCTGTCACTGGCATCCAACGTGACTCTTGATCCGGCGACTTGGCAGCCAGTGAACCTGGGCAACGTCGTGATGGGACTGTTCGGCAACGAGGTTGGCCGCACGACATGGCTGGACTTTGGTGGCATCGCTGGCGCGTTTGTGGTACCGGTGTACAACAGGAAGTCCAACGCCGTGTGGATTGAGTGGCTGGGGCTGCTGGGGTTGCCGTACTCGCCCACCTTTGAGTCGCCCCTGGACTTCCTCGGAATGTGGATGCATGCCATCCGCGTCAACCGGTGGGTGGGTGGGCTGTGTAACGGTACGGGCCCTGTGTAGGCCATTAGGGTGTGTTATTAGGGAAGTAGCACTGGAGTCCGACATGCGACATATGTGATTCCGGACGTGGGTTGGGTGACTGGTGAGAGCTAGAGCCCAGGGGGCCAGAGGGACGGAAAGCCTGAGACGCTGGATGCTGTGGTGTCGGGAGGCTTCCAGAGCGCCGGAAGCTTTGAAAACGCTGCACGGTGTGTGTGCATGTGTGTATGTCACATGTATGCGTGTGTGTGTGTTGTGTGTGTGTTGTGTGTGTGTTGTGTGTGTGTTGTGTGTGTGTTGTGTGTGTGTTGTTGTATGTGTGTGTGTGTGTGTTTCCACAACGCCATTTGTCACGAGAATCAATGGAAGTTGCTTCGCTGTTGCTTGTCAGTCCCTTAGGACAGCATACTGCGAATGCGGTGGAGTTCCAGGCTACCGACCCACCGACCCGCCCACTCGCGTACCTCGGGCATGCCACTGAGGCACATCTCCTGAGCCCCAACTACGCTGCTGCTGCGGCTGCTGCTGCTGCTGCTGCTGCTGCTGGTAGATGGTACTTAGGTCAACCCTTCGTTAGTGCAAAAATCTTTAATTCTTTTATTTTTTGTAAAAAGAAAAAAGAAAAAAAAATTTAACTAAATTACTTGTGAAGTTCTGGAAATCTTAAAAAACGTTTTAGGAATTCATAAAAAAACTTTTTAGGATCAGGAAAAAACTTTTAAGAAAATCGGAGGTGTAGATTAAAGGTAAAAGTAAAAAGTAAAAGTTAAAGGTTAGAGTTAAAGTAATGAGTTAGAAGGTCGTATTAGTCGAAAAGAATCGAAAAACTAAAGAGGAGAAGCTGGAAAGAGAGGTATGTGTTATAGAGTCTGTTTTAGGGGTGATTAGCTAGGGTTGAGAAATAGGTAAGTTTTGTGAGAGAGGTTTGGAAGGTTTAGACTGAGGGGATAAAAAGCGACGAGTATAAATTTATTGAAGGTATGTTGTGTGTGGAGGGCTTGAAAGTAGTTTTTGTGTATAGGTGAGATGTAAAGAACTAGAGGTGGAGTTGTGGCTGAGGTGAAGGAGTGTTAAGGAAAGATAAGTGCTGGGAGGGGTTTGGTCCAAGCTGAGAGTTTGATAGTTGTAGTGCGTGGAAAGTAGTGAAAAAAGAAAAAACTGGGTGTAGCTGGAAGAGAACTAGATGGGCTGCTAAGCGAGTGCAAGCTGACCTAAATAAAGTCGCTGAAGCTATATTTAGCAAGGCACGTCACGACGCGTTTCGGCCTTGCCAGGGCCTCATCAGGTGACTCTTGCGCTAAGTTTAGGTGCTTTGCTATGCTAAGAGCCCCCTGAGATGTAGAAAACGTAAACTGACCGTAGTGGGCGAACTGTACCAGTGCTGAAGAAGTTTGCTGCTGGTAATTGGTGTTCGCAGANCGGTTTTAGTCCAATCGATGGTGGTTGTCAAGTGGTGAGCGAGGACGAGCCTGAATGAAAAACGTAATGATAGTGAGTTGTAAAGTCAATTGCAGTGGGTGTAGGAGCCTGGTTTGGAGGTTTATGAGCAGTTACGAGTTGGCATGGCGGGTATGTAAGATATGGGTACTCGACGAGCAATCACGGAGGTTTGAATTGAAAACTAGCTGTGTTGCGATGGATTATTTGCGAGGAAAAAGAAAGGCGGACGGCTGGGGAGGACTTACTGTTGGTGGGCGATGATGAGGTTCGAACGGTGGCGTTGTGCAAGATAGCACCGCGCGAAGATTGTAGGTCTTTGTGGATTATAGGGAATAAAGATAAGTTGTTGTAGATGAGGATACTGAAGAGTGGTGGTATTTGATGTGAAAGGTGTGGGCTATAGGTGTGGCTATAGGTATGACGGCGTTCGGTGTTATAGGCGCGATTGAGCGAGTTTGGGAATAAATGGTGAACGAGATATCAGTATATGTATTAAACAGAATTAAACGCGCTTCTTTAAATCGAGTGTTCGTTGCGAGAGGGTGTGGTTCCCTGGAGTGAGTTGTATCGCCGGCGGGAGGTGCGAAGTGTCGGTTTGGGCGTAGTATACTTTTGTTGAAAGGAATATTTTTGTAGGCGTTGGGTTTTTTTGTGTTGGGTTGAGGGGAGATAGTCTGTATGCCTGGCGCATATAGTGGATTGGGAGTTATTGTGTTGCTGGCTTTTGCCGTTGGCGAGTTGTTGGAAAGGTGATATGGTAGTTAAGAAAAAGTGAAAAAAGAAAAAAGGGTATCGCCGAGGCTTTCGTAAGAGAATAGCAGTGAGACGGTTGAGTTTGTTACAGAGTTAGTTAGTTATTACGTAATGTCAGAATGTGAAGGGATGTTTGGAATAAGGTGGGGATAGGGGGTATAGTCGTTACAGGAAGGTGTGACGGTGAAGCTCAGACTTCAGAGTCTTAAGGGATACGAGGGATATTTTAGGAAAGATCCACCAGACCGTGATAAGTGAAGTTTTGGTAATTACGTTATGGTGTAGGATTGACGATACGAGTGGATTGTAAGTAGTTTAAAGGGAGGGGGGAGTTGCCAAGGTGGTTGCTGCTGCAAGTACTGTGTAACGGGAGTCGAAAAACGTTAATGTTTAACGTGGCTGCTGCTGCTGCTGCTGCTGCTGCTTCTCCCGCTGTTTCCGCTGTCCGCCTTCCGCCTGTGCTGCCCCCAGGACTGTCCCTGCGGGTCGCGGGTCCTCCTCGCGGGTCTTCCAGCTGTACTGCGATTACTGCACCATCGTGGTGAGCGATGACGAGTACAACTGGCTGATGGCCAACCTGCCCAGCGCAAGGTTCACGACACCTATGGACAAGTAAGATGGAGCACGGGGGGCAGGACGCCAAAGTGGGTGGGGGGAGAGAGTCAACGACCTAACGGGGTCCGGGTGTGGGTGCGAATGAGTAAAGGGAGTGCGAGCCCACCTGGTCGGAAGGCCGACGTGCAAACTTGGGCACTACGCGTGCAAGCGTCCTGGTGCGAGTGAGCGGGAGTGTGTGCGTATGCGGTACATGGTAATGGGTGCATAAGCTCCGCACCTGCAGACTCGCCCCATGCGAGCCGGTGCTCACGGCCTCCTACTGCCTACCGCCCAAGGTAGGAGACCGCGCAGATACGCAAGGTAGAAGGAAAGGAAAGGATAGGGAAAGAAGCCATAGCCACGTAAGACCAAACGTAGGCCAAACATAGCCGAGGAATTCAACGTCCAGAGGGAACAAGACAAATTCGGTATCTGGGCCAAGTATGTTTCAACACCCTGGCTAGACGTGTCGGGTGCGAACTGATTGCGTCGCTCATGCTGCTGGAACCAGCATGGTCTGCTTCCCGCCATAGCCCTGTGATGCTTTTCGTGCTTTTTTCTCTCGTATGGAGAGCTATGCTGCTTGTGTTGCTATGTCCCACTCTCTTGGCGGCACACAGCCGGCGGGTACGGGGGTTCCGCGCAGAAGTTGGGGCCACAGGTTGCGGCGCAGGCCAGTGATGTGGGGGCAGGAGTGCCCCCTTTGCTGGGGTCCGTGGGTGACCGGTGTCTCCCACGCATCACCTCCCCTATACACCTGCCCTCCCCTCCCCTCGCGACCTCAACACTAGCTGCGCTGCCGGCCTCGACTGCCCAGGCCATGGCTGGTCTCCCTGTTCAAGACGCCGGTCCTCGGGGACTTCGCTGACAACGTAATGCCCAGCATCAGCTACCTGGATGATGCCGAGCAGGTAAGGGCATGTACGGCATTTTACGCAATTTTACAGCTGCAGTACGATGATGTTGTGAATGATGGGGGGGTACAGCTTCACCAATAGCCACTAGCTTGGCAGTCCCTACTACCCTGTCCGGTGTTCGGGGCCACCCTCGTCCTTCTCATGACCCATGTGTGAGGACTTCCGCAAAGTTAATGACTTTTCGGGGTCAGCACCCACCACCACTACCGCCAGCACCGCCAGCATCCAGTGGAATCTGCTGCCGGATCAACGGCGGCGTCAACTCCACTCCTGGTCGGGTCGCAGGTGTTACCATATCCGGGTCCATCCCACCGTCCCTAGTCTTTTCCCACACACTGTCGGAATCAAACCGACGCCCTCTTGACTCCGCAGCGCAAAGCTCAATCCATGCCTTCAACATCCCCTGAGGCGCTTTTTCCGCCGTCGGACCTGCCTGAACCAACCCTGGTCCATCTCCCTCTATCACATATTGGAGCAGTAGGCGGCAGGACTCAGAACCACATTGTGGAGTGATTTGTAATGGGCTTACCTGCCTGCCTGCCTGTCTGCCTGTCCGTTTTTCCCTTCTAGGGCCCTCCTGGGGATTTCTCTCGGTCTCCCAGGCCACCTCAGCCACCCACCATTGCTAACCCGGCCCCCCTTACGCAGGTTGTTCGCATTGCGAGAAGCTACCTGTCCAAGTACAGCGTTAGTAAAGCTGCCGTGAGCTCCCTGGTTGGCAAGTGGCCCCTGGGCGCGGCTGAGCCGGCGGCCATCCGGTCGACGGTGAGACCACGACCAGCAAGCCGGCCGCGGCATTTCAGGAGGCTGCCGCATGCGCGAAACATTTACCGACATACCGGCATTGCCGTGGCCCTGGTGCTGCTGTAACACCACGGCCTTCACCACCGCAACTACCCACACTCCACTCTGTCTTCTCTTGGCCGCTTGCCCTGCTTAGCTACCTACGTAATCACCTGGACCACCACGAGCTCTTTAACGCCCGCAATCTGTCCGATACCAGAGTCGCAGCACCATTGATTTAGGCGACCCTCCCGCACTTACCCAACCGCCATTCCCGCCCTACCAGTTCCCCTTGGGCCAGTTCTGGGTAGCGAACAGCTCCGAGCTGGGCCCTATCATGTCGGTGGCCAACTACAGCAAGGTCATCGCGAGGTCCGACGGCCGCGGTGAGTCGCCACACATAGCCGGGGAAGTGAGGGGGGAGAGTGGGAGGCTGCATGCTGTGGGGCTGCTGAGGGGTTTCAGCCTCCCTTTGCTTAGCCAACGGAACCTAAACACAACCAGATGCGCCCCGGTCTCGCGCGCAGCCGCCCCGGCCAGCGGCTATGACCTCGGGCGGGGCCCCCCATCCCTGGAATAGGCTCCGGTGATTGATACAGCTCCTGTGGCAGGACCTCCACGTGGAGGTCCCCTCCTCCGCCCTCCCGTCCCGTCCCGTCCCCGGCAGGACCAGGCCGGGCCTGACGATCTGTTCCCACACAACTCACAACCCCTCCAAGCCCGCCGCCTGCTCTGTGCATTGCTGTGCCTCGGTCGCCTCGCACATATCCCGACAGGCCGTCCATTCCTGAGCGCAATGATCGAGGACCCGTTGGCAGTTGGCGAGTTCGGGCGGCAGTTCGTGCCGCGGTCGTCCAGCATCCGGATCATGGGACCCCCCTTCGAGCAAACCGGCCAGCTGGCGTTCTGGGATATGCAGGTACGCGGCGGGCTGTACACGGCTTCCAGCTGGCGAGTAGTACGGCGCCGATGGGATGCCCACATCAGCGGCCCGGCGGATGAAAGGGGAGGGGCATTACTGGTTGGGGCCTGCCCTTGCTGCGCGCACGTTTCCTCCCTACGTCTCCTCCTTACTTCGCCGGGCAGGAAGTGCTTGGGATGAGACGCGCCCTTGTGGGGTTGCAGGGCTGCAGGGTTGCACGCAAGGTTTTGTGGTGCGTGGCGCAGCTTGCAGCTTCAGATGCTTCCCCGCCTGGTTCGATCCTCCGGTTTCCCCACGCTTAACCCGCTCAACTCAAACCCCGCGGTTGCCCCTTCCAAACCTTTTGGGTGACTTCAGGGCGTTACTGGGGAGCTCTTCGTGCCGGATGCGTCTCAGTTGACAATAGAGCGATTAGTATTGTACAACTTGGCACCCGGGGGAGCGCCCCCGTACGGTCGCGGCTTCACTTCGGGTGACAGCCTTCAGCGGCGGCTCGCGTACGGCACGGGGTGGCAGCCCACGGCTTCGGACGGCACCGCCACGCAGCTTCCGCCGCTGGGGGTGGCAGCTGCGATGGCGAATTTGACACTGCCCCTCTGGTACTTTGCCAAGCCATTCAGGTACCGCCCAGCGGGGGACAGGGGCGGGCGGGGTGGGGGAAACATGGGCGCGGACAGCCTGGCGACCTCGTGAGCAGTGTCAAGAGAGGTGGGGTAGGAGGCAGGGACAGCGGCTTAGGGTTGGCCGTTCGTCGGGCTGTCCCACGGGCATTTCACCCGCCTTCCCTGTTCCCACACTTGCCCCTTCCTGGCCTGGCCACCCGCAGTGGTGCCATGCGCATCTCCCTGTCCAAGTGCCTGCTGGTGGTTCCCCGTCCCGAGCTGGACCTCCTGCGGGAGCTGCTGGGTCAGGCAGGAAAGCTGCCCGCCACACCGGGGGTCCCCGCTGGCCAGAACAGCACCTCGCACATGGCCGTCGGAATATCAAGCAGCAGCAGCAGCAGCAGCAGCAGGCGCCGGTTGGCGACGGAGCTGAGCAGCCCCCCTCAGGCCGCTGCGATGATGCCGGGTAGGGCATATGAGCAGCTGCAGGAGTTCGTCCGGAGTTCGGAGGTAAGTGGTGTCAGGCTACCTGCCTGCCTTCCTCGCCAGCAGCCTTCCACTGTGCTTAGCTCGCTGTCTGTCTGTCTGTCTGCCTGGGTGTCTGCCTGGGTGTCTTCCTGTCTGTCCGTCGTCAATCAGTCTGGGTGGGGGGGATGTGATGAGATGTCACTCGAAGCGGTGGGGAAGACAGAATCCTTGGATGGGGGGCTCACAGGTAGTCGCGGGTGAGCGTGCATCCTGGTGGGCCAAGTTGTGGAGGGCGTGTGTGTGTGGGGGGGGGTGGAGTGGTTAATACTGGCAACCCCCACCCTAATGGCACACGCCCTTCTGGCACAGCCCCGTGTCATTGCCCTCAGCAATAGCAACACCGGGCAATACTTTCCCCCCCGGATGAGGTTCCCCCTCCTCACCTGCGAGGTGTGTTGGGGTGCTGCCTGTTGTGGCAGGTGGTCTGGTACACCGGCGATACGGTGTTCTTCGCCTCCCTGGTGTTCTGGCGGGTCAGCGGGGCCCAGGTCGCCGTGACATACCGCCTACCGGAGGCCGCGCCAACACCCGCCCTTTTTTACGATGTGACGTACGGTGGGTAAATATTCTCCCCCTGCCTTCCCGCCGCCAGCCTAACACGCGGGCTGGCGCCGCGGTGCCGCTGAAGGACCTGGTGCCGATCCACCTGCCGCCAGCGCCCGCCAGTGCTTCCCCCTACCAAGCAATCGGTCACCACCTGTGCCCATGTGGATCCGCGGTATTGTCCTCGTGACGCGCCGCTTTCTTGTCCCTCGAAGCATGCCCGCGTGCATATCACAGGATAACACGGCCCCGCGCGATCTTGCTTTTGCAGATCCTGACAGCTATCCGCCGCCATCGCCTCCGCTTCCGCCGTCGCCCCGGGCTCAGCGCCCGCCGTTACCTGTAACAACGCTTCCGCCAACGCCACTCCTATCGTCACCGTTGCAACCTGCGCCGTCACCCCCGGCGGCACCCACCGCCAACCCCGTTAACGTAAACAGCGGACTGCAGTTGGCGGCGTCCCAACCGCCTGGGGGCCCATCGCGGTCGGGGACCTCCGTCGTCGGCATCGCCGTTGGCGTTTCGGTGGGTGTGTCTGCTGCCGCCGCGGCCCTTGTGGGCCTCATCCTCCTTGCGCGTCGTCGTCGGCGGGAGCGCTTTCACAGCGAGAGCAAGCAAGGTCTCTTTTATGGCGGGGAGCGAGACAACGAATGTAGGGACCCCTGGAGCGACAGCCGAGACCACAGCCTTGACAACGAGGACGGCCCCGCAGCACCCGCCGCCGCCGCCTCCTCAGCGCACCGTCATGAACGCAGAAGCCAGGGCGGGATTAATGCCGCTAATGTAAGGGCGGGCCAAGGCAAGGGCCTGCCCGAGTCCGGTACGACAACTGCCAGCCCGGGTGTCAGCAGCGGCACGCCTGCGACCGGGGAAGCCCCACCCGATTCTCACAAGCAAGGGCTAGCGCGGCTGCAGGCGCAGGCGGCGGCGGCGCCGACACCCGCCGACACGATGGCCGTACTGGCGGCGGCGGCGACGGCGGTCAGCAGCTCGCGTAGTGGGACGTACTTTAGCGCCAACAGCGGTCCCGGAGGGGACCCGGTGGGGGCCGGCGGTGCTGGCGGCCCGCCCATGCCGTTTACAGCGCTGCCCCAGATACAGCTTGTGGTTGTGGAGGACGAGAAGTTGTCGGGGGCTAGTGACGTCACGTCAACCGGAGATGCCCCATGTCATCAGGAGGGCACGCAGCAGGTGACGGAGGCGGCGGAGGCACTGGGTGCCTTGAAGGACTGCGGCAGCACGCGCTCCCCCGCCTCGTGGGCGAACCCCCGGGGGTTGGGGCCTGTTACCGAGCCCACCGCCGCCTCAAGCAGCTGCACCTCGCTAAAGCTGGGGGCCAAGTCGCTGCTGCAGACGATGGACATCGAGTTAGCGCTGCAGGTGGGGCTAGCGGGGTGCCGGCTGGCGAGGGCATTGGGGGGGATCTCATGGCTTTGCTAGGGAGAGCTGCCGGGCTGCACTTTCCGTCGGGCTAGGTCGGGGGGAAACTGTTACAACTTCCATGCGCGTGAAAGTACAGAGCGGGCGACGTTGCGGATTGGGTCACTTTCCATGCGCGTCTCACAACGCGTAGGCGTCACGCATCATGTCACTCTGATTTTGATTATACGATTATGCTGCTGCTGTGTATATCGGTGCTGCGGCTGATGACGTGTTATTGGCGGCCACCCTTCCACCCCTAGGCCTACAGCAGCCGGTCCCAGGTGCATGAGACCGAGGCCGCCAACTCCGCAGGGAACGTCCCCCAGCAAGGTAAGTTACCAGCGATGATGTGACACATGCGCCTATCCGGGGCTGGCGTCCGGGGCTAGCTGCCTCCACGTGACCCCCTGCGGTGACGAGCTCGGGACCCCCCCCCCCATGTCGGGTATGTCGGGGACGCACCATGGTGGTGTCACCGCTGCGGCCATCCTGCGACCGCGGGTAGCGGGCTCCTCCTTCGCGACGGGGCAGGCGGCCGCCCTAGCTGCCCAGCCCTGGAGCGTGTTCCTGCTGCCCTTCCAGCAGATAGCGTGATGAACTTTGCCTAATGTGTTTCTGCCCACGGAAACGCAACTTCCAGGCGACGTTGGTTCGTGTTTGTGGTCGCTTTAGCCAGCCCGCCTTTACGTCTTGCCTGCGCACTCATTAGTCTCTGTGCGCCTCTGTGCGGTTTCTGGAGGGCAAGCAATCACGAGCGCATCATAATCTCTCTCTCCATAGACAGCGGCCTCTCCTTGTTTGCCCTGTTGCTTTGAGCAGGCTCTGCGCCCGCCCAGGCGCGTTCAGGTTCGGACCTGGCGTCGGCCATTAGCAGCCTGCAGGTGGGTGCGGAGCTGCGGACAGGACGGCGGAAAACAGAGCAGCATTCGAGTGCGAAGAAGAAAAACAAGGGCACACAGACGGCCGAATAAGAGAATGCAAACACGAACATCGGTGATACAGCTACATGCCGGCTTGCACATTGAACGTTGCCACGTAACGCTGACTTATACTTCAGACGAGCAGTAATAGCAGTAGACGCGTATCTTGCCAGAAATCCTCGAGCGCACTACCGTGGTATGACCGCAGGCTGAGCTGTCCGGGCGGCAGGAGCAGCTGCGCATCACCACGGTCCTGGGCAAGGGCTCCTTTGGCGTCGTGTATTTGGGTGGGTCCCTGGGCGGGGCGGGGCGGGGCGGGGCGGGCCGTGGCGGGGCGGGAGTTAGTTGAGTTTACCGGGGCCCTGCCAGGTTGAGCAGACAGTGCTGGGTTGGCTTGCGGTGCCTTGCTTTCATCTTGCTTGGATGGGTTGGACTCGAGTCTGGCTCGATTGGCTTCGAATAGCCCAACGCACCACGAACGAACGAATGAACGGTCTTTGCTGGTTATCGTTGGCGTCACGTAGTTGATGGCTTTTGAGTTGGGCTGGCCCCTCGTTAGCCAGTATGCCATTATGTGCGCCGCATTTCGCAGCCCGCGACACGACACGCACTTCCCCGGCGCTACCAATCACCGCCATGCTCCTCGACAGAGGTGACATGCCGTACCCCCTCTCCCCTGAACTCCGTTCCGTCATGGTCACCCTCTCCGGCTGGTGGGTGAGCCAGGCACCTGGCGCGGATTGCGGGTGGCGGTCAAGACGCTTGTGGTCCACGACGCGCTTCTGGGAGTGGAGGGTCGGCGGCGTCAGCGGGCTATCCTGGAGGCCGCCATCTCCACCTCCCTGCAGCACCCCAATGTGGTGTCCACGTACGCCTTCGAGGTCAAGCCGCTAGGAGTGGTAGCAACACCGCACACCGCGCAGAGCAAGGGCCAAGGGGGTGGGGGGCAGGCGCAACCCGCCGCTGCACACGGTACCTCGGCTGCACCGGGCGAGCGCAGCGTGTGGGAGAGCGGCGGCGATGTGTACAAGTTGTACATCATCCAGGTGGGAGAATGGGGAGGTGAAAGGGATTACGATGGGGGACACGGAGGGAGGATTGGCGTCTTTGGGGTGCGGCGAAGAGCTGGCATTTTTGCTTACCTGCACAACTTGGCCGGCATACTTTGTCTCGCCAAAGAGATGTGATGACATAGTGTCGCCCTGGCTTGCTGTTGCGTCCCTTCCCCCCCCGGTTCCCCGGTGGGTGGTGTGGGTCCCCTGCAGGAGTACTGCGATGTGGGCACCTTGAGAGATGCTCTGAGTAAGTCGGGAAGGCTGGGTGGACTGTGAGGGGACGTCCGCCGGGGTCCTCTGAGTCGCCTGCGTGCTCGTCTTGGCAGTCAGCTACGTGTTACCTGTGTTCCTTTCCAGCTGCGGCCCACTGCGGGCCCTTAGTACCTGTCCCCTGCTTCCAACCTTGGCCGCGTGTATTGAGAGTATGGCCTGACGAGATGGAAAAGTGTCTTCTTTCCCCACGTTACCCCGCTCCCGCCGCGCCGCTGAGGTGAGGTGCTCACGCTCTGTCCTGGTCAGGGCGCGGCTGTCTTTAACGTGTGAGCCTCGACCCCCCGGCAACCCCCCCCCCCACCCGCTACCTGCCAACGGAGCTCAGGTGCCGGAGTGGTGGGCAGCGTGATGTCGGGCGGCGCCGCGGCGCTGTGTGCCCTGACCCTGGCGCTGGACGTGGCGTGTGGCATGTGCCACATACACGCCAAGAACATCGTGCACGGGGTAAGCATAATGCCCTGCAGCCCCGCTGGGTGCGTTGCCCCACGGCTGAGCCCACCGTGCGTTTCCCGGGACCTCCTTCGCATTCCCTGCCTTACTGCGTCCTTATAGCTTCTGCTACTTTTGCGGGAGTAGTTGAGAAGCTTTCTGTTCGATACCTGTGTCGATGACCATTCCCTGATGTGCATGCAGGACCTATCCTCAGCCAACATCTTGCTAACCAGCCTTAAGGGCGCAGCTATCCTAGGAGGCGGCCACGATGGCCAGGTTGGGGGGCCCAACGACATGTTCGGTAACCTGGCCAGCGCTATGATGATGGGGCGCACACAGGGCGCCAGGAACCTCGCGGCGCAGGTGGGCTTCGGCAGTGCTCATGCATCCGGGGACATATTATTAACACACGTGCTTGTACAGCGGGGGTACCGCGTGAAGTCAAAGTTCACGCTTGGCGGTTATTGCTTCCGGAGGTGCTTGTCCGGCGGGGGAGGCTTCAGTGAATGTTTTCATCAAATATTTGTCGTCTCATCGACCCTGGGATGGATGATCAGGATGGTGTGATGTTGCTGGCCTCAGTGCGGTAATGGCGCGGTAAGGGTCGTGTCGCTCTGTCTTGCGGTTCCCCAGGTGTCGCGGCTTCGGGGCCTGTGGCGGCCCCCCGTGGTGGCTAAGGTGGCGGATTTCGGACTCAGGTGGGATCCACAGCCGGCGGATCCAGGGGAAGCGCACAGCAACAGTTCCAAATGTACAAAGGAAGATCCAGCTTTCGGAAACAGCCATGTGTACATGGCCCCCTTTCATGCTGCTCCCGGGTCCGGCGCTTGTATCCTGCCTTCCCCCGCCCCGTGCCTGGCTGGAGCAACCCTGAGTCCTTGCCCTCTCCCCCTGTACCAGCGTGCGCATGGGCGAGGGTCAGACACACGCCAGCAACAAATTCCAGGGGACACCACTTTACAGTGCGCCTGGTGAGTCGCTGGATCTGTAGCCCCCGGGTTGCCGGACAGCGGCCGGAACGGATAGGGGTCCCCGGCTCCAGCACGGGGAAGATTCCGCCATGCAGCCGGGGACTCCGCGCTATTGGATTGCTGGAAGTAATGTTTCCTGTAAGCTTGGCACTCAACCTGCATGTCTAGACCCTTCTTCAGTCGTAAGCAGCATCTGCAGCACTATGCCTGGAGGACATCACTCGTATCTGGTGTTCGATGTCCACACTGCCAGCGCACAGCACTTAAGAGTGGTTCCCATCTTTGGGGGGGGTCTTGCTCCTGGCGCTTACCCACCGTCTCTACCTTTCCATTTCCTTTCTTTCACGCGCTCCTCACCGCCCCTTCAGAGGTACTTGCTCGAGGTCATCTGACCAAGGCAGCGGACGTGTTCAGGTGCGCAGTTGTAGCCGCAAGAGCGGTCGCAGCTGTAGCCACAGCTACAGCCACAGTGTGAGGCGGACCTTTTCCGTAAGTTCCCGTTCTTGTCGGTCCTACCCCGCGGTCAGCACCAGCGGCCTCTCGCGCAGGACAGCTGCGGGGGAGCGCGGCCGCTGAGGACCTCAGGACCGCTAGCTCCGGGAATTCCGGGCTGAGATATCTGACGGCGTGGTTGCCTGTCGCCCTGGCGGCCCTGCCAACCGTCCTGCCCTGTCCAACCCCTGGCTGGGTCGGACAGGCATGAGCGCGCCTCTTTCGTTATGTGCTTTACTTGGGAACTCCTTCTGCACCCATCGCCATCCCTGCTTCGCCTGAGTGCACATTATCGTCTCCGATACGTTGCCCTCTCTTCCTTCCACTTCTCACCCCTCTCACCCCACTCACCCTCAGTTACGGTGTGGTGCTGTTGGAGTTCTTCTACGGCATGAGCATTGCAGAGGTGAAGGCCCGCCGAACCGCCGAACCGTCAGACGCGGCCGCTACTGCCAGCATTGCGGGTGGCAGGTTCGGTGTTGCCATCCCCGCCAGCGCACCCCGGCATCTGCGCTACTTGATGCTGGCGTGCATCTCTGGGGAGCCCGGTCTGAGGCCGACCTTTGAACAGGTGCGGGACCGGGGGGCCGCAGCGGGGGGCGAGGGAGCGTCCCTCGCACCACGTGGGCGGGCGGGTGGGCGCTAGCGGGCGTGTGAGCACGCATGGTTGCCTGCCGGTGTGGAGGAAGGGGAGAGGGGGAGCGTTTTGGAAGTGATCAGGGTTTGGAGAGGGAAGTGGGGTAGGCTTGCAACAGTCTCCCTAGGCTTAGAAGCCGTCTTCCTCACCCGCCCAACCCCCTGTTGTCGCTGGCTCCCTGGAAACCCTCACGGCCTCAGCACGGTGCAGTACAGTGCAGTACAGTGCCCAGAGAGGGGCAGCCGACAGAGAAGCCGACCAGCCAGCTAGGCTAGCCCTCCGTGGCTGCCACACAGCGTCCTGTCGGGCAACCCCGAGCCAGTCCGCACCTCCCCATGTCAATATCCATGACGGAGTGATGCTCCCCCCGGGGACGTCTCGTGCCTCTCGCCTGCGTCCCCCGTCCACTTGAGACCCTGCCTGCTGTCCACTTTCGAAATCCCCCATGTCCCCACCCCCGGCCCCCTCCGGAACCCCCCGTTGACCCCGGGGCATTGTTCTGGCGGTGTCATCAGGTTGTCGATTCCCTGGTGGACCTGCTGCTGGGGCAGCATGTGGAGCTGCAGCAGATGGAGGTCGCCAGGTACGGGCCACGGGCCACGGAGAGGGCAGCTGCAGGAGGAGGAGGAGGAGGAGGAGGGGGAGGAGGAGGAGGAGGAGGAGGAGGAGGTGCCGGTGTGGCCCCGTCAAATCCGGTCCCGGGACCGACAGCGGTGGCCGTATCGGCGGAGGAGAGGTAGCGGAGCGGAGCACCAGAGGAGGGGGGAGTGGCGCAGGGAGAGAAGTGGCCGGGTCTGCAGGTACAGAGGGTAGAGAAATCGATAATGTGTCGATCCCGACTGGTAGGTGGGGCGCGTAGGGGAACATCTCACAGGAGTCGGCGGCCCGAGCGACTAAGAGGATGTGGGGAACGATGGCGTTTTGGCGGAAGGCATAGGGGCGGCGGAGTGATTTTGAAGGGAGCGATTCTTAGTTTTATGGGCGTTAATATTATTGAAATTCACGTCATATAGTGCGAATTAATCCTACATACCACGTGATGGCGATATATCTACGTAGACAGTTTATCACCTAGGGGTTAGGGCTGGGCTTGTAGGGATGGATTACCTCAGGCAAGGACTACCGCCCACGGCGGTCGGCGGGTGAGTGGCCAGCGGGCCCCGTGGAGGGACGCACTGAGCAACGCGAGGGCGTGGAGTCCAAATGACGTGTTTCACAAGTGCGTTGTGCGTTGCGTGTACGGCTAGCTACGGGCACGGTAACACTGTAGTACATGCTGAAAATATTGAGGCATCATCAGAAATACACACACATGCATATTAGGTACCCATTAAAGAGAATTCGAGTCCGGAAAGGAAGATGAGATTTGCTGTGTCAAGCACACCCTCCGGTTTTGGAGGAGTTGCCATCTGTTTTGCATCTATCTGCTCTTGCATGTGAGTCCTTACGAGTTTCAATCTGTTTCTTTCTTTCAAGAAGCATGTGTCATCATGCGGCATCAACTTCCCCCGAGTGGGTGTCAAAGAGCATCCGTTGCTTGTCGGTGGAAGGGCCCGGCCCGCCGGGGGACATCCTCCCATCCCGCGCCCGACCCGGGGAGGAGTTAGCGTCGGGTTAGTGTCGGGTGCTGAACCCTTCCTTTGATATTGGCTTAGAGTGCCTTGGCATGGCCTGGTTCACGGGTAGTGTACAGTGGGGTTGTACTGTGCACCCTCTCCCTTTTGTACAGCTTAGTGCAGACTCTCGCAGAGTCTTTCGCGTGGCATAGTGCAAAGCTCCTTGCATTTCATGTAGGGCAGTGCAGGGTTGTTCCCGGTACATATGACGGGCAGTAAATTGGGGCGCGCAATCTATGGCACTGGACGTAGTGGGAAGTGGTGCGCGGTTCACCGTTGCGGTGCATTTCCCGTAGCCGGTGCGGCCACTGGTTGGTGGTGGGGAGATAAGAAACATGACTGGTAGGTAGGGGTCGTTTGGATGGGCCCTCCTGGGGGGAGATGTGGTCATGACAGGCGAACGAGGCGGAGGAGGGTGCGGAGGGCCAACCAGACCGATCTGTGCAACAGCGGGTGGACCAGGTGGGGTCGCGAATGAAAGACGCGCATAAGGCCTACCTTGCAGCGTGTTTGCCCCGGGGGTTGTCCCTTGTGCGTATTTTATTGGGCCATTGCGATGTGGTTGAGAGCTCGCGGGGTTAGTCGTACATAGCGATGTTGAAGGAGGTCTTAAATTTGTCGATTGAGTATCGACGTCAAAAATTACACGGGATGACACGCATGCATATTCGTACATGTCGTATCCCGTCGTATATACCACATCTTGAATGCACTAGGAAGGTTGAGAGAGGTGGGCGGGGAATGCTGGCATGTTGGGGCGACATGGAGTACGGCAGCAAGGAGCGTTGTTCGGAGGCCATTTGAGGCCATAATGACCATACTTATGTGGCGGCGGTAGCTCGCACCCTGCGACTACCTCGCACGGAGTGTGGGAGCGCTGCGCTGGCAGCGACCCCAGCATCTGGCGGGTTCCGATTACAGTCCAACCTTTTCATGGGCGTTTTCATGGAGCAACGTGCATTGATGAGCTTCGTTTGTAATGAGGAGGTTATTGCTGTGGCGGGACTTAGCACACACGTGTTCTCTGGCGGCCGGGCGGCCAGGGTAGTCTCATGTAGTGACAACAAGTGACACAAAGTGGTGGAGGCCGCAGGGTAGTCGGTAACATGGGGCGGTGTTTGGGCCCTCTCAACCCCGGGGGCCCAGGCGGTGCTGAGACGCCTTTCCAGGCTGCTGCTGACGTGGCGGTGCTGAATGCTGTCTGCCTGCTGGAGGCCGTGTGCAAACACATAGTGTTTGTTACAGCTGCGGCTGTCAGGGGTCTTCCCCTCCTGATGATCAATAGCCGGGTATACGCCATCTGCACGTGTAATGCGGGGCCCTGACCAATACAGAGGCGCCGTCAATGCTGCGCACACAAAATGCGACACTATGACAACACCACACCGGATATGCCTAGCCTGAAACTCCCTCTTCACTATTTGAGGACGGAAAACATGAACGGAAGTGGGTGTGCTGCTGCTGCAGCAATGAAGCAGCGCTGCTAGGCCACTCATGCACACACGGCCGCACTGGCGGCTTGGGGCCTGGGTGCTTGCTCATCCAGACGGCCATGACCTTGGGGCTCGTTGGGGTGACTTCCAGGGTGCAGCGGTGTTGAAGGCGGTAGCACGTCGGCTCAGCTGCTGCAGCTGCTTTTCCGTGCTTACCAGGACTCTGACGATGAGCTCATCTGCATCTGCCCACCGCTGGGAGGTCCGCGAGCCCCCCGCAACCCGGGGGGTTTCCAGTGGGGGTCCCCCCAGGCGGAGTGACAGGGTGGACAGAATCCTCATTAGGGAAGTCAGCAAGTCTTGTAAGACAGCATCGGCAAGGGCTGCAGCCCTGGCTGTTGACGCGTTGGTGGCGTCGGTGATGGTGACGGGTGGGTTGCCAATCCCCGGCAGCGGCTCCAGCTCACGTGCCAGTCCCCCCGTCAAACTGATGGACGGGGTCCCTGGAGCCACAGCACTAGGTGCCAAGGCTTTCGTCCCCGCCTGGGGCGGGAGCAGCAGCAGTGGTTGAGGTGGCGGCGCCGTCCCTGTGGCCCGCACAAAGCCCAACAGCTTCGCCATAGCAGCGGCAACGGCTCCTTGGACGTCTGCTGCTGCTGCTTCCAGAGCGCCACACACCGCCAATAACGTGGGGCTTCCAATGATGAAGTCCTTCGTTGCACTGCTGTCCTCCTCGCTGCTACTACTGACATCAATCCCTGGACTCCTGCTGCCGCTGCCGCTGCCGCTGCTGTTGCTGTTGTTTATGATGATACTCTCTGTACTGCTGCTGCTGCTGTCGCTATCGGCGCCGGCTGTTGCGCACTTGGCGCGACCATGCTTTGCCTGGACGTCCTCATGCGCGTTCCCCTTACTCACGGGGACCTGGTTTAGGCTGTCTGAAGCACCCACCATCGCATCAGCAATGTCGTCCAGGGCGCGAGCTGTTATTGCCACAGCTTCCCTCGCAAGAGCCGCCTGCACCCCTGACAGTGCCACAGACTCCGCCTCAGCAGCAGCAGCCGCAGCTGCGCCACCGCTTAGCGGACGTACCCTCGCATGCAACTGTCCTGCTGACCATACAGCCGGTAAGATGTCATGATCGCCGCCCGCCGCTTGCGTCGTCCCGTCCTTGATAGGGCTTCCGCCCGCTGCTGCTTCCGTCGTCTCCGGCAAGGAGGCCGGCGGCGACATCAAATTGTTTAAGCCGGCTTCCGTGTTTACGCTGCTGACGGGCTGCTGTTGGCTGGCAGTAGTAGTCACCCACGAGCCACCGTACACCGGGCCGCGACTGGCGGAGTCGCGTCCAGGGGCCGGCCTGACAGCTCGCAGTGGCTCATCGTTGAGGCTCGTAGTGTTGACTCGAGAAGACGGGGTAGGCTTTGCGGGTGTTGCGGACGGCCCAGGCGGGGCCCACCGATCAATTGTGGTGTGGTGCTGCGGTGGGGCCGGTGGAAGTGGCGGCGCCACTGGATTTGCTGCAGCTGCGGGCCGGGCCGGTAGCCTGTGGGGCACCGTGTCAGATGCGGCAGCTGCGGACGCCTTCAGTGCTGACCAGGTTACTGGCACATCCGCCGGAGGATTAATATTGTCACTGCCGCTGCTGGCCCCGGTGTTACTGGTGCTGGTATCACTGTTTTTGCTGTTGCCGGCGTGGCGATACTTCTGGTTGCCCAAGTCGTCCTGGACACCGCTGTTGCTACTGATGTTGATGCGCACTGCCGGATCTGAAGGGCCCGGATGCGTCGCGCCCGTGACCGAAGCTAGCAACTGTGCTGAAGGCACTGGGGAGCCAAAACGCTGGAACTGTCCGGCCCAAGCGGTGTGATCATGGCCCGCGGAACCCCAGGCCACCGGCAGCTCGATGACGCTACCTCGGAGCTCATTACCACCTCTTTGCGCCGCGTTCTTAATACGGTCATCTCCAGCTGGCAGGTCCTCGCGCGCTTCATTTCCACCTTTGTTCCCGGAGTGAGCGCTGCCAGCACTGAAGCTGCTGTTTCCCCCTCGTTGTGCCCTGACGGGCATGTCGCTTGCATCCCGCAACTCTGTAATCTGCTGCGGCTCCTGGCCGCGCCCCCTCCAGTCCCACACCCGCACCCTCTGGCCCCCTGCTGGTTGCTGCTGGCGGAAGGGGGCTGATGCCAGCTCAACCGGCTGCACTTCTCCGCCTAGCTGCCGCACTGCCGGACCACCTCGTGCAAGCCCATTGCCACCAGCGACACCGCCACTGCTACGAGGAGGAGCAGCAGCCGGTTTGGGCAGCTCAATGGTGGTGTTGAAGGGGATATTGTCCGTGCGGGTACCGGCGGCTCGCAAGATGGAAGCGGACAGAGCGTCGGGAGTCGTAGTCGCTGAGGTGCCGGTGGATGGGGGCCGTGGCGAGAGGGCCCACGGTGGCGGTGGGGCGTACTGGGTCGCAGAAGAGGAGTTCGCTGTCGTCCCGGACGGAAACCAGACGTCCCACAGGCTCCTGCGGAGTGGATGAGCGGGACGCTGATAAGAGGACGCACCGGGCATGGGGGGGATGGTCCACGGAGACGTATCGCCAAGCACGTCCATCCTCTCCTACATATTTTCGCAACCACCCATCCGGGATCAATATAACGAGATGGTATCTTGTCAGGTGCTGAAGCCCATGTGGATCTTGGACACCGCCGCCCCCGCACTGGCTTTCCTGGGAGACCCGGTAGAGGCAACGGGAAAGAGGGGCCCTTCACGGCACGATTTGGACCCCTCGAACTTGCATAGTATCTTCGTCACTGCCGCACAAAGTCCTTGGATGCCGGCGGCAACCCGGTCTGCATTGTCGCCCATGCACGGAAAGCGACGCGCACGTACACATGTGTGATGTAACATGATCGCATGATTTTGCGTTGTATGTCCCCAAGCTAACTTGTGGCTCTTAGGCTCTTGGGCCTCTGGCTCGTATGGGCTCGTTACACCTCTCTGGGGTAACACAACCGAGGTAACGCACACATGGTTGTATGCCAAAGAGCCCTCATGGATTGGCAATACCGTACCGCACCTGAGCGCCGCCGCCACCCCATCCTCCCCGCCGGCCAGCAGCAGCGGGTCCCAGCCACCAGCTACTGCTGCTGTCGCGTTGAGGCGCGCCACAAGGACGTCCGCAATGCTCGTCCGGTCCCCGCCTGCCCGACGACGGGGTCCACCAGCGTCACCAACAACACGGGCGGTGCCGCCACTGCTACTGCTGTCGGTGCTGCCAGCGGACCTGGAACGCTCGGGCCCGGAGGTTCTGTACTGGAGTCCGTCGGCGGCCATGTCACGCAAGCGGTCCAGGCCTGCGCTCAGCTGTCCGGCTGCCGCCGCAGCCTGAAGTTGGTTGCACGGTGGGGAGGGGATGTCCGGGTGTTCCCCAGAGGTGCTGTCCGCAAAGGTTTTACTGTATTGAAACCGTGTGCGACTGCAAACCACAGGTGCAGGAGTGTGTAGGCGCTAATGCTGCAGGTGAAGGCGCAGATGCACCCTTCCGGCAGTACCCGTGGTTGCCTCCACCCCCGCATCGGGGCCCTCATGCCCCCCCTCATGGCCCCCCTCATGCCTACTCCCCCCACTGCGGTCTCTCACCGCGTCACTCGCCATGCGCGAATTGCTGCAAGCGTCCTTGCCTTCCCAGGACCCTAGATGCAAACCACCCTTGGGCCCCAGCCGGCTGCTACGTACCGTTCGATTGATGGCCGCCAGGACCTGGGCCCCAGTGGGCCCTATGTCTGCCATGACGGCTGCCGTACGGTCTAGGGCCGCTTGGCGGTTGTCCAGCACCGACCCGGCACGGTCCTGCACCACATCATGTCACATGCAGCACGGACGAAATGTACGGCAGGTTGAAATCGTACTTTGCGCAGCTTGTGCGTAGGTGGCCGCCGAGTGGGTTGTTCGGCCACAGTGGACTGCGGCCGGCTACCTGACGGTGGGCTGGCCACCCGCCTCAAGCGATTTCTGTATTACTTGATCTTATGCGGCGTTACACGGTCATGCGCTAGAGCGTGCACTGTCGCCAAGGGACACTAGTTCTGGAAAGCAAGGACCGCGTGACGATGCATGTTACCGGAACCGCAAAGCCTGGTCAGAACAAAAAAGGGAGCACTTGCTAAAAGCGCTGGCAGCGGGGAACGAAGGTGGCAGGCCAAGGTGATGAAAGGCGGCTACTCAGAGGCTGTGTTGAACGCACACATACAAGCACACGGCCTTCCCATTTAGCCCCACATCCATCACATCACCAACAGACCATCAGTCGCACCTGCAGCCGCTGTACAGCAGTTTGCAACATTAGCACCATCTCCCGCAGTTGGTCCTCATACACCTGCCGAGATGCCGTACCGTACGGCAAGGGGAGGTCTGTTGCAGTGCCGCAATTAGGCAGGCGAGCGCGTAAACATCCTTATCTGCTAGCTGTGGCCAAAGCGAAGACTGGCAGCAGGACGGAGGAGTCAGATGGGGCCTTTCGCCCCGTGGCCTGCTTCTGCTTAGATCGGCCCGAACGAATTACTTCGTTCGGTGGTTTGCGCGCCTGTCAGAGACAGCCATGCACCCTCAAACCCTGACGCACCGAAGGTTGAGGCTTTGGCTGGGTGCTGGGAACGTAGCAGCGCGGTTTGGTTACGATAGTGTAGAGGTTTTCCACCCACCTACCGCGGTCAACATCTCGCCCCAGCCCGCCGAAGATCTAGGTCCTCTGCTCCTCAACTATTATGCCCCTTGTGGTATGTCAGCTGTTATTTTCCGCACATGCTGTGACGGCAAATGAGGTCGTAAGCAGCTAACTAGATGCCAGCTAATAGATCCGCTGTCACCCTTTTCCCCCCTTGTAAGGCACACACCTGAGCGGCACGTCTACCGACAGAAGCGGCGGGCCCCCGCACAGCACCACTGGGCGCACTTGCTCCTCTGCTAAAGCTGTGGCCGCCGCCGCCGCCACTGCCGGTCTTGGCAGCGTCCACATCGTCAGCTCGGCTGACACCTCGAAAGTCAAAAAGTTCACTGCCAAAGTGACCCCCATCGCCACCGACCCCACCAACGCCGTAACCCCATTTCCCACTGCTATCACCGCCACCGCCATCGCTGCCATGCCCTTGGCCCTCAGGCTGCAAGGCTGCCCGGATACCCCCGACTACGTCTTCCGCCAGGTCCAGCCATGCAGCTGCCCGCTCTAATTCGCTCCTGCCGCCTGTCCCTCCCTCGCCGGCTCCATCCCGACGGCGGCCTTTACGCTGCCCCTTCCCTGCGCGGCCGCCCTTCGACCTGCGGGCCCCCGGGTCTGTGTCAATTACATCAGGAAAGGCGCGAGTGGCATCCTCCAGCAAACCAGTGAAGAGGGCTGGGCCCAGAGCGGCGGCAGCGGTACTGACATTTCCCACCGTAACACCGCGGCTGGAGGCGGAAGCTCCACCCACCACCCCGGGGGGGGCGGTGCCGTTGGCGCTGAAGCTGCCATTGATGAGGGAGCTGATCACCGTTGTGGGTGGGTTGATAACAGTGGGTGTGACGGTGAAGGTCGCCTGCGAGGAAGGAGGTTGTGGCACATGGACCGCGGCGTCGCGTGCGTCATGGACTAGCTAAGCTTAGGAAGGTCAAGAAGAAGAAGGGCCTAGGGGTCGGGACTCGTCCTGAGGTCTAATGATGGCAATACAGCACGAGGTGGGCTGTTCGCCGTCTGGCGGTGTGGCGGATCGCGTCAACTGTAACAGCTGCCACGGCAGGTATCCCGCACCAAGACCAGCGGCCGTACCTGGGTGATGCCAACCAAAACGGTGCCCAGCACTCCGTCCAGGAGGATGAGCAGCAGACGTGTGATGATGTAGCGCGGGTTGATGGCCAGCTCCTGCACGGCTGGAGAGTGGGTTTTAGATGCGGGGGTGCGCCAGGTCCCACACGCCCTATGCCGCTACATAACCCAGCGAGCCAACACGTTCAAGGAGACATACGTACACAGCCCACGCGGCATGTTGTGTCGCTAGAGGAGGTTGGTATTTTGGCCCTACACGACGTGCAGCAACGCCGTACCGCATTTTTTCTGTACAGCGCCACGCCAATAACGGCGTCCAGGTAGGCTGACGCGTACGCCACGGCGGCGGATCTATAGGCAGCGCTGTACAGCCTTGCGTTGAGTGTACGGCGAATGAGATTGCCTTGGGCTTGCATGAGGGGGAAGTTGTCTGCAATGCAGAGGGGCAGCAGCAAAATGGCGGGGAGTCAAGTGGGGAGTCAAGAGGTGAGTCAAGAACGGACAGAGGCCAGAGGTAATAGTTTGCGAATCGCGTTCATGCTGCTACTGATGTGCTCCTCCAGGACATCTTGGCTGCTGAAGATATAACCGATTGCGGCACAACAGCGGTATGGTTCGTGGCCGCTCATCAATGTCAGACCAGAGACCGCACACCCACACCCACACCCACACCCACACCCACACCCAAACCCAAGCCCAAACCCAAGCCCAAACCCAAGCCCAAACCCAAACCCAAGCCCAAACCCAAACCCAAGCCCAAACCCAAGCCCAAACCCAAGCCCAAACCCAAGCCCAAACTCAAACCCAAGCCCAAGCCCAAGCCCAAACCCAAACCCAAACCCAAACCCAAGCCCAAACCCACAATTCAACCGTCTTCTCACCCGCATACGCGTCCATCTGTTCCCCAATAGCCTTCTGCAGAGCCACGTAGCGCTTTGCGGTCACCTCCGTCCGCTTCTCATACTCCTTCTGGACAGAAGCTTCAAACGACAGCAGCCACCTGCCGAAGCCACGGCCCTCGCCGCTGTCGCCCGCACCGTCCCCGCCTTTGCCACCGCCATTCTTGATGGACGGAAGCGGCGGCGGCGGCGGCACCCGTACGTAGCGGTTGTAGCAGAGGTACAAATCCCTGGAGCACAGCGCCACACGCTGGACGGCACCCGGCAGACCCGGCTGCACCGCCCGGTCGATTCGCCAGTCAGATCCCCCCCCGCCATTGCCGCCGCCGCCGCTGCCATATACACCTTGGCGCTGCCTACCGGCAACAAGTTGCGCCATCTGTTGCCGCAGCTGTGTAGCCCATCCATCTGGCAGGCCTTGCGATTGCGCCATGGCCGATAACCTGTCCAGGAGCTCGGCAAAATCATTATCGCCGCCCGAACCGCCATCGCTGCTCCCGGCGTTTACGGCACGGAAGACGTCAGCTCCAGGGGAGTTTCGCGAGTCGCCGTGAGGAAGCCGCGGCGGCGGCGCTGCCGGCGGCCGGTGCGGCGCGCGTTGTTGTTGTGACGAGCGCAGCCATTGAAGGTCAAGTGCCTGCTGCGGCGAGTCTGGAGGCGGTGATGACGACCCGTGGCGCAGCGGCGGCAGCAGAGGCGGCGGCAGCGGCGGCTGGAGCTCTGCACGGTGCAGCAGCGCCGCCAGGCGGTCCACCTGAGCAATCCGACGGCCGCACAAGAGCATCTCCCAGCCGGTCAAATTGATTGGCGGCGCCGAGTTCGAGACCGACCTATCGCCATGACTGCTGCTGCCGACGTCACCGCTGCTGTTGCCAGCGCCGTTGGAAAGATTGCCGGGTGTTGCCGAACCGGCCGGCAGGCTCAATGTCAGCGTCCACACACCCACGCTGCCACCAGAACGGCCGGCAAAAACACTGCTTCCATCGTCGCCATCATTTCCATTATCGACGTCGTGCCTGGATGTCTGATCTTGGTACGCTGGCCATTGCCGTACTTTGGCCGTGAACGGCATTCCACCAGCCTACTGACGTCGTGCACAGCACACGTACATGTGTCTGAAAATACTTGTGTCGTGAGATGTCGACGTGCGTTTCAGCAGCCATCAAACAGGCACGCACCACTTGTTCCTCTGCGTCCCAACGCTTCACGCGGAGCCTGACCGTGTAAACTAGCTGCGGTGTGAGCGCGGGCTCACAGTGATCTCGGGGACCACCATTCAGTAACCCAGCTCGGCAAAACCAAAATCTTGTTACGTGCCCAGCCCTTCCAAGGCGCATGCATAAGCCCTGCAGCTGCTTCATATTGTTGGAAGCCCCAACAAAGGTTCCGCAACCTAGCCGGTCCATGAGGTGAGATGAGAAGCTGGGATGATGATGATGATGATGATGATGATGACGATGGTGTGACTGTACGGCAGCTTACCTGATCGGCTGCAGTTATGTCGCCGCGTGCAGATGCCAGGCTATTGTCGTCCGTGACGCCATCTTGAAAGATGATCTTGTACTCTTCCATGGTCTGCGGTCAGTTCGTCAGCAGCCGCAGGGCAGCAGAGGCGGAAATGCGTTGCTGAAGCCGCGACCCCATGGTGACGCCGCAGCATGTGGGTGGCCGCGGAGGGAGGGAGTTAACCATAGGACTGCTGGCAGCACCCGCAAGGGGAGGCGCAAGTCCATCCTGACCAGCCCTGCCGCATATCCACCTCAATGCGTACCACAATGGCTGAAGCTTCCCCAGCTGTGGCTAGTTTTCTCTCGGAGGTCTGTTGGGGACCAGGCGCGTCGTGCTCCGGCGCGTCGGTCCAGGACGAGAATGCCTTCACTCTGCGCCCGTCCATAGGGCCCCCAGACAGGCTTTTATGGACAACCCCGCACTTGTGCGTACGCTGTAACTTATAACTCTACTTTATGTGAGAGATTACGAGGCCTCACTGGCTGAATGCAGGGGGCACCTCGGACAGCCGGTGCCGCCAACACCGGTATAGGGCCACCGGTGTGCGGCGGAGCCCCCCCCCCTACTCGCTGCGAAATCCTCAACCTAGATCCTGCAGCATTATATCCGTGGTGTGCTAAAAGTCCTCCGGTGGTAACCGCCGTACTGGGCGCCCCGCAAGTGCCAACACCCCACCCAACAGGCCATCCCCCGCTTCAACCCTCCCCCCAACCTGCAACGTGCCGCCTCCTTCTTCCGCGCCGCCTCCTGCTTCCGAGCCCTGCACACGTCCAAATTGGGCGAGTAAGCAGGAGGTGGGGCAGCTGCCCCAAAGGAGGAGGGCTCTCAGCCATCCAATACCACCGCAGGATGCATAGTGGCCAGGAAAACGCAAAACAGAGACCCACCTGAGGCAGTGCGAAAACTGCGCCGCCCTCACAGGCAACTGGTTCCGCTGTGCCGATGGTGCCGCGATCCTTGTACGACACCCCACTACTAGGCACGGAAACCACCGCGGCTCCCTTCGGGTCCGGTGCGGCGGCATCATCGTACTCGCAGCCTCCATCGTACTCGTATTCATCACAGCGTCGGATGGGGGCCGTTGGCGGCGGACAGGCGGTCAGGTGGCCCTGTGTGCACACAGGAGCGGTGGATTGCGCCCATGTGTTGGTGCGCTCATTGCAGGTGAATTGATATGCGGGCGGAGGCAGCAGCAATGCATGAAGCGTTTAGATACCACACCACATCATCGCAAGAGCTAGGCCGTCTTGAGGGGGGAGAATAGCTTCTGTATCCTCGTGTCGGCCTCCAATGGGGGGTCCTGCGTTACTCAGGGGGGCTTCATGTTGCTTCAGTCCAAAGTTGGGGGGCAGTGCCCACAAGGACTGACAGGGCCGCAGAAGAGCTCCGCCGCGCAGCCTACAGCCATCAGCCGCGGCCCCGCAAATCCCCTCTCCCTCCCGCTCACCCAAAGAACATTGCACTGCCAAACCTCCCGCATCCGGCTGTGCCACTCTTCTCCAAAGATATCTGGATATAAAAATCAGTCTGCTTGCCTGCCCGCCCGCCTGCCAACCCGCAATCTCGTTATGCTGCCAGCAATCAAAGCTAATCATCAACCATACATCCATTATTGTCAGCTTGGCGCTGCTGCCGTCTTCCTCAGCCGCCATCGACCCGGCCGCCAACATGCAGTAACATGCAGCGGGGTCCCACCTGCAGCTGGGCGGCGGTGTACGGCGCCCCGGCCAAGTGCAGCCGTACCGTCAGCGAGTCCACCAGCAGGGGCGGCTGCTGCACCTGCTCCCTCGTACCAGCCGGGTCCATTGAAGGGTGGATGCACGTATACATGCATGGTAAGAGGTGAGGGGCAAGTGTTATGAGACACAATTCCACGTATGCAGTCCAGGTACGGTACCAATCTACCGGGCATCGAGGAGTCCACCGGACCCACACAACCCCCCACCCGCCATAATCTGTGTGGTCGTCCACCACCGATTCCAGGCAATCCTGCCGATTCAAGCCCGGGTTCAATTCTCTTTTCCCTCCGGCCCCCTCTCCACGGCTCCTCACCGGGATCGCGCTCCGTAGAGTCCACAGACCATCAGGGCTCAAGTCTACAGTCGGCTCGACACCGGAGGGGGGTCGGCGGGGTACACGGAGCCGCCATGCTGGTGGCACCTGGACTGGGGCTTCGCGGGCCGCTGGACCGTGGGGCCTGTCGTACAGATCACCGAAATCCCTGGCGGTGGTTGCGGCGGAGGTATGGACCAAGTCCGCCGCTGCGGGCTGTCCGAAGAACCTGTAGCACATCGCATCCTGCATGCTAGCCGGAGGTGAGGGGCACAAAGAACCAGTCTGTTCGGCACAGTACACAGGCCGCGCGACAGTCGATGCGGGTAAGCCCCACGGCCCCCACCTGCGAGATAGGCGCCTCCAGGCTGCCGGCGGAAGCTGCAGCACGGAGCCACGCGCAGCACAGTGTAACCCGCCACGCCCAGGTCATGGCGGTGGGGCCCTGTCTTGCCCTCATCAATGAAACACGGCCAGCAAGGGCAGGCAGAAGGGCAGCCCGGGGAGAGCCCTAGGTCTTGCCACGTGCTCGTGGATGCAGTGCAAGGGAACAGCTAGGTTCGGATGGATTCGGTCCCGGGTACTTGAGTGATGAGGGCTAACTCCAGGTGCTATTAACGTCCTTATCATCTAATAGCTAGTATCGTTTAGGGGTGCTGCAGTGCTTTGTGCGCCCCCACGGTATGTCGGACAATCCCAGGCCCATGGACGCGCGGTCACCGACCGCATTTGCAAGCCCATGGACTTGCATGCGAGAGCTAGAATTTTTTGTGTATATGGCGCAGTGATATGCGTGTCATAGCTCGAATTGATGGTACTAATGGCGGAAATGGAGTTGGCAGAACTATCGTCTTCAGTACGGCGCGTGCCGTCAGGACTCCTCTGTGGGACCTGCCGAACAGGATGCGATCGGAGCTGCCGATATCACGTCCGGCTGCAGTTACTTGGTTGCAACACTTTAAACGGTCTTAAGAATAAGAATCCGTATCACACGATGGAAGGCTATCGCAATCAACGGCTGATTGAGGTAGCTTTGGATGCAGAGGTTGCGTTTCACTACCGATTTAGGCCGTACTGCGTGTGCAAGTGTGTGTCAATCCGTGGACGTGACAATTACGAGTTCATGTTTTTACCTCGTTATGGTAACCAGTTGGTTATGGCAACAAAGCTCATACTCATACTCTTTCCTGTTGCGCGATACTCTTGCCCCAGGTACTCACACCTGGAGGCGATGCCGGCGTAATCGCGTGGGATGCAGTGCGTCCCTTTCAGCTTGACTGGAGCAGCATTCCATTTGCTGGTGGCGGGCATAAACGACATGTAACACAAAACACAAAAAGATGTACATACATACAGACAGGCTTTGCTAAAAGCAAGTCAACCAGCAAACCGCTCGTCTTTCACTACTAATTTCTTCAGCAGCTTTACTTTCTCCGGCAGTGACAGCGACTTGTATCAGCTAGGCGTTATCTGCGACCACGTGTCCGTTCGTCCCATCACGGGCTTAGTATAGTCTTGTGGGTTCTCTTTGCTTTCCGGCTCATGAGGCTCATCACGTGGCTCAACATGCAAGGCGGCTGGACGAGCTTCCCTCCCCCCCGCGGGAAGACATCGACCCGGATGCTGCCACGCGCCTAGCCTGGAGGGCGCGCAACAACCTGCAAGTCCAGGAAGTCCAGCTTGCTGCATATCCGCACTGCTTCGTCACTCCCCTCCCCTTGTGGCTACACCTGTGGTTAACGCCCCTCAGCACCTCCTATCGCTGCCTTTCGCCTCTTGCTCCTCCCCTCCTTGGTCCCCTGGCTCCCCCTTACCAGCCAGGCCCCCACAAGTCCACCACTTACCTGCCCGCCTGCTTAAGCGTCACCTGCCCTGTGCCCCCTACCTCCTGCCCTTACCGCCTGCCCCCGCCACATGCCGCCAGCCTACATACATCCTTGCCTCCTGGTCCCTTGCCTTCCGTCCTTACAACCCTGACTTTCCTTCCTGCAACCTCCGGCCCGCACGGTGGTGCTTACAGTCAACAGGACCGAAATGACAACCGGTGCCGACTCTGTAAAGCCTACGACCTCGTCCAACAAGAAGCGTGGCTTCGCTGACGCGGCTGAGTTTTCCTTTGGCGTCTGTGCCATCTCACCATCTCAACGGCACACAGACAGGAACTCCCGTACGTGGAGGCGACATCGCCTTGTGGTTGCGGCCTGCGGCTGCAGTAGCTAGAACCCCGCGAGACACTTAACGCCGCAAATGCCACGTAAAAGCAGCACCATGCCCAAACGCAACGAAGTCTCGAGCGCCCACTCCGCCGCCGCTGGCCTCCCCTCCATCCGACCTTGTATCCCAAGCCAAGCCAAGCAAAACCAGGTGTGGCCGCCTCCATCCCGCTCATCATCATCTACACGTTGAGCGACACGGCCCGCTCCTCGGCCACCCGCTGCTCCTCCGCCAAGCTCTTGTCCTCCTGCTCCCGGTGCTTGGCCAGCGTCTCTCGAACCTTCTCCACGTTGTAGGCCGCCTCCAGCAGGTTGGACATCTGGGCCTCGGGGCTGGTGCGCAGAGGGGCCCAGGTGGGTCAGCGGGACGGGTAGCAGAGGGGTTGGGGGAAGACACGAGCCAGCCCAGTCCACACCCCACCACACCGCACGATACCGTACCATCCTCCCTTCACATTGTCCCCAGTACCTGATCGCGTAATGGTACAGCTTCTCGTTCCACTCGCCATCCGTACCCGCATCGCCCTCCCGGTGCTGAGTCATCCACAAGCTGTACCGCCGAGTGTACGGATCGGCCACGTGCCAGCTGGACTTGACGAAGATCTGGCGGCAGCCGCCGGGACGGAGCGGACCGAAGCGGTTTCAGGAAGGCACCAAGCTTTTGACGAAGCAGAGCACAAGCAGGATGGGAGGGAGGCATACAAGAAGCCGTCGCGACCTGGCAATGTTTTTCCTCCTCTAAAATGACCGGGCTGGCGCTCCTGTGGGCACAACCGCTCCCTCCATCCTTATCCTAGACGCAGAGACGAAGCAGGCAACATGTCACAGAATCGCTTCGTTGATTCAAATTCAGGCAAACATCGTAGCAAGAAACTAAACTCGACTCGAAGCCACACACTGCTTCGGTATTGTTCCAGCGTCACCACGCTTAGCCGCACCGTCGTACCGTCTCGTACGGATGGAAGGCAATGCCGTCGTACGTGCCGTGCCGGGAGGGATGGACCATATCGTTGCATCCCCAGTGCCGCTCGTCACGCCAGTCTACATCCTGACGGAAGGGACGGGCATCACATGAGCGCGTGAGGGCAAACCGACCAAAACTGCCGACCTCCAATCAGCGAGCGGCGGGAACGCAACTGCTGTGCTGCGAGGGCTGTGCTAGGAGGCAACGTGCCTTAACAGGAAGCAAGAAGCACAGAGCGAGGGACATTTCACACGGCTTGAACCTGTGCCTGCGCGCCTGTAGGGCAGGCCAAAAAGGCAGCTGCCCGGGCGGCTCCTGCAGCCCAGGCACTTGGCCATGCGGCCGTGTGGGAGGTCCGTGTGGTCTCCCGGACTTGTCTGTCCGTGCGTCAAGAAATCCCCGAGTGACTGCGCGACGTGAACACCCCAGGTGCCACATCCGTTCCTAACCACGTCCTCGCTCTCCACTGCTCACAGCGCCGGGAACCCCCTGGCGGCGCTTTTCAGGACCTTGTGGTGGGCGAGGGGTAGATCCGCACCTGGCGTGCACGGCACCCTCACACGCCTATCACCGCACACGGTGCCAACAGCGGAGACCGGCAAGGTCTCCCCCTTTCCGCACAACACGTCACGGCATGGGCCCTTGCACGTGCGCCCATAGGCTGGCAGCGGCGACAGACGGCGGCCGCACTTGGCGGCCGGAGCCACATGACTGGAAGGACGGAGTGGCTCTCTAATACATCCCGGCCAGGGCAGTACACCGGCAGCCGCCACTGCCTCGGTGTGTGTCGCACCCGCCCCTCCCCACCCGTGGCCACCGGCCGGTCGGTCACTCACTCGCGCATACTTGGACATGAGGGTGGCTACGTTGTACCCCGCCTGCTGACCGGGGCCGGCGCGGGGGAACAGGGGGGCGGCGGGTGATGAGCAGGAGGCGGAGGTAGAGGCGGAGATGCCGAGTGGAAATGTAGCGACGCGCGGGGCACATGCACGGTCAGGACGGCGTGGGGTAGGGCAGATCACACTGGGAATGTTGTGGGCTGTGGAATTTGGGCAAACGGACATCACAGTGCAAAGCAGAGGCTGTTTCCTCGAACTTGGGCACACGCCCTGCGACGGCGGAGGAATGTGTAAGTGCACGATGGCAGCAACACGCGCTTACACATTCCGCCGCCGCCGCAGGGCGTGCGGCCGCGCGAGTGGTGGGGGAAGCTGCGGCCTCGCGGGGGGATGTCGCAGCAAGCAAACCAACCGCCGCTGCCGCCGCGAGGCCGCGTCCGGAAGCCCTGTCGGTTTAGGCCAGGAAGATACCAGAGCAGAGACGGCCTTCCCGCACGTCGTACCTCAAGTAGTACGGACGTAATGCCGTACTCCCCACCCACGATGATCCCATCCTCCTTGTCCCCACACGTCTTGCAGGTGCGCACCTGTGGGTCCAGGGGAACCGAAACATCTGAGCAACGTCATCACACATACCCCCCTTTCCTGCCCGCCAATACAAGTACCTCCTGCATGGACTGGCTTCTTCAGTACAGTATTGCAGGGGGCTTCCAATGGAGCTGTGATCACTCCGGTCTGCCCCTGAAGCACACGACCTGTAAGCACACTTCACCCCCAGTTGCAACATCGGCTCAAGGACTGCCGGACTGAAGACTTCTTTTCGGACGACCGGCTCCCCTGCCCAAGATTGCGGATGCATAGCGTTAAAGTCAGGTGAGGTCGGCAGCTGGGGCCGGCAAGGTGGCTACTGGCTTTCCCCCCCCACACACACGGGGCCCTGGTCCCCACCTTCAGCACCCCCCGCCTGATCACCAGCTCCATGGCCACGTGGTCCAGAGCCACCGCCCAGGACTCCAGACGGGGACCGGGGCCGCCTGTCGGCAGCAGCAACAGCGGCAGCAGCAACAGCGGCAGCAGCAACAGCTAGAGAGACAGAAAGGACGGAACTTGGTGTTTTAATAACAACAACAAACAGCAATTCACTGCAATGACATCTATCAGACCAGCAGCAGCAGCAGTCTCACCCACAGAAGGTACAGCAGCCGCAGTGTGCCTACTTGCCATAGTGATGGCCCAACATGGACCAGCCATCCCCTGCTCCCACTCGTTACAAGGTACTCCTCACGTGCGCTTATTCCTCACGTGCTGTGGCCCTGGAGGCCGCACCCACCCCTCTCCTCCCCTCTCCTCCCATAGCTCCCTGATGTCCGCAGACCCCACACAGGCACACACATGTGCAGCCGGGCCGGCTCCAACCGGGACATGGCCGCACCTACCCGCGTCTGCCTCCGGTAGACACACCAGGGAGCAGCCCACCGCCCGCACCACCGCGGGACCCATGGGTCGGCGCCTGGAGTAGGGCCCGGTGGGAGTGCCGGGGGGCAGCACCTCCAGCACCGGGGGATACGTCCACCGGGGATCTCCCTGCGGCCTCGTGACAGCCGGGTGGGGGGGGGAGGGGGGGATGGAGTCACGAGCTGCGCCGTGTGACATACATAGCAGCTGACTCCCGGGGAGGACCCGCGGGTAAATTAACTGATTAACTAACAAATACACACGAGGCACGGACGGGGGCTCCAGGGTTCGCCAAGGCCTTGGGGGGGCCAGTTCGTACGACACCTGATGCGACCCGGGAGGTGGGTTTGCAGTAGCCAGGGGGACGTGGGGATGTGGGTGTGTAGGGCCGCACATCGCCGGTTATAAGTTGGCAGTTGGGAGTTGGGACGATGACGGGACCTCAACTGCATGTGTTGCAGTCACGACAAGATCTGTCGTACAATGTAAGTCCTGAAGCCTGCTCCTGGACCCCTCGTCTCCACCAAGCACCTCCTTGGAGTGCGGCTCCAGATTGAGGGGTTGGGCTGTCCCCGGGCTCCTCTTCTTCCGAAATGGGTTGGAAACGCCACCCACCCAGCCCGCCATCCATACCTCCCCCCCGCCAAGTGCGCCTCGCTGGACCTCTAGCTGCCACAGCCTACTATTTCCTCCCTTACCCTTCCACAGCGAGCACGGCTGCTCATCGTCCACTAGGCCCGAGTCGGGGCGGTTCCCTCCCCCCTCCTCCCCCACACCTGTGGCAGTGGTTGGAACCTCTCCAGGAAGGCGTGGGTCCAGTGCCACCAGGTGGGCAGGTAGGCCGGGTAGTAGGGCCCCTTCACACTGCTGTTCAGGAGGAGGAAGTAGCGGTAACGGCTGCGGGGGGGACACAGCGCGAAACCGTACGATACAGCACATACGTGTGTGTGACCTACTGCCCGACGTAGGGCGGGGGGTTGACGGGTGGCATGGGGAGTACGGTCGGAGGGGAAGAGGTAGGTGGCGAACCTCGACGAGATTCTACAACGGCAGTACGGGAATGCCCAGCCGGGGTTGAGGGGGTTGAGGGGGTGTCGGGTGGCCTTCATGACCCCCTCTGCTACATGAAGAGTATTCCGGACCTCCTGGACCTCCCAGACATGCAATACCCCGCCTCAGGTCCCCAGTCTCTCCCCTCCCCCCCAACCCCCCCACACGCACGTGTCACGCACACACACCTGAGCCCCCCCCCGTGGCGCCTGAGGTACTCCAGACTGGTGTTGTGGGCCGCCAGGTCCATACCCACGTTCTCACTGCGCCACAGCAACAGAGTGGGGCCCGCCTCGGGGGCCCCGTGCGGTCCGGACAGCAGCTGGGGGACCCCGCCGCCGGGGCGGGCGGGCCGACGTCTGCTGCTGCTGCCGGTGAGGTGGAGGTGGCGGTCCTCCGGGTCACCGTCGACCCGGGCGGCCCGGGTGATACCCATGTCTGGGTCCGCTTGTAGTGGCGTCCTGGGAGGCAGGGAGGAGGGAGGGAGGGAGGACGGGAGAGAAGATGAGGGGGGTTAGATATAAGAGATGCAAAAAGGCCCGAGTCTCAACTGCCTTTGTCCACAGCATCAACTGACCAAGGGGTGGGGTGTGCAGAAGGGGCTCCTCACGGCTTCCGCGCGTTCGAGGGGCGGGAGGGTGGAGGGGACCACGCCGGGACAAGGAGGGCAATCGGGTCCTCACCTCATCGGAGCCAGCCCGGGGCCCTCAGCCGCCAGCTCCCTGTCAGTGACACCTCCACTCCCTAACACTCCCTACTGCCCTCCCTCGCGCCCCTGCGGGTCCCCCCCTCGCGGCTCAAGGCCACCCGCGCCAACTCCCTCAAAGACGGAGTTTTTTCTCTCCGCCCCCACCCCTTCAACCGCTTTCGAATCGAGTTCCTCCTCACGTGAGCGGGAAGGCGCTGACGCACGGCGAGCAGAGGTCCCCCGTCACCACGAACACCCAGGTCACCGGCTGCACCTCCCCCGGGGGGGACACCCAGCCGTGCTGGAGGAAGTGTTCCAGGTTGGTACGCTGACAGGACATGGGAGGGAGGGGAGGAGATGAGGTTAAGGGAGGGAGGGACAGGGAGGAGGGCCAAAGAGGCCGTCGGCGAGAACGAGCGGAACGTGGGTAAGGCGAACCACTGACGGGGCGGAAAGGGGGTGATCAGTACTGCCATGGACCCTTGAAATCATGACAGCATCACGGCCTGATTGTTCAGATTGATATTCACAAGGTTGCTGTGAGCGTGCACTTGGTGTGTTGTTTGCGCGTTCCTGGGGAGGGTTGTGGAGCCAGTTACCTGGATGGTATCCTTCTCATAGAAAGCGTACGATACCAGGAGGGGTGCCGTGCTGTACGGCGGCGGGCGGTGCGTCTGTCGGCTGGCGAAGGGCCCCTCCTCCGCGCTGTCAGTGATGCGGGAGCGCAGGTGCCAGCCGTACAACGTCAGGGTGAGGACGCACAGGGCCAGGCAAGTACCCCAGATGACATCGGTGGGACGCAGGCGCGCCGCCAAACGCCGCCGGGTGCGGGGCCCAGCGTGTGGGTCTGCCATCAACCCTGGCTCGGGGAGCCTTTCCCAGCGGCTTCCGGTGAAGGCCACAGAAGGCGCCTAGGCGAGCGCGATAGAGCTCCGCATGGCCCTGGAAGTTGATCAGCGCGTCCTATTAACACGTATTGATTTGCCCCATGGACGTTTTTGCACGCAAGCGGCAACGACTACGGAGGGTTCTCAGGCTATACGATCATGCTTATTTGCACGCTGAAACGTCTTGTAAATAAACAAGTAATTATATTATGAATTTATCCCGGCATGAGACAGCACCGCGTCTCAAACCGTTTCCTCGATTTACCACTGGCCGGTCCAGGCAGTTGGCAATGGCAACCAGTCAGTGCTATCTGATATCTATATGAAAGATAACTTGCGAATTGTTGATCTAAGGGAATCCATTCTATTAGTGCGCTCAATCTTCTATTATGTTACGTAAGCCTTGCAGAAGACAACTTTCAGCCCCTTGATGCAATACATAGTTGTGTTCTTCGTCCTGTATAGTTGCTAAAATTAGTCAGTTCATCATCTGTCGGTTCACAATGGCAGACTTGGATGCGGTGTTTTCTCGAATTTTTGCTGCGGCACTCTATAGCTCTGCCGATCATGTCAATTGGAGGCCTCCTGTGGTTGTATTATCCGGGCTAGCACAGGTACTAACCTGCCATTAGTGATCTGCTTTTGTGCGGGCCATGACAACCTTACCTGCCTCGGCAACGACAGGAGCTGGAGGCAGAGGCAGGAGCTAATGGCCAGAAGCCGGTCTTGGATGCAGCGGTGCTGGACAGGGTACTCGTGTCGCGTCTCATAGAGTCTCCGCCATCAAACTATCCGCAGCCTCCCATACACTACCTCATGGGCTGTTACGAACGTTCTTCAGAGGAGCTTCGCAGGGCTGGGACAAACGAGCAGGTTAAGGTGCGGAGCTGGCTTCTGTGTTTCCCAAACCATCCGTAATGGCCCAGGGGTCCAACGCACTGTGCAAAAGGACGTGGACTCCCCTTGTGTCTCCAGAGAACAGGAATTATGCCGCCCATCATTTAAGCGAAGTCAATGCCTTCCTAATGCCCTGGACACTGGGGGAATGTTTGCAACGGGCCTCGGGGACAACCTGCTTTCCTTATATGCGCGCCAGCTCCGTCGCTTCATTCCACCGGGCCACCGCTATCCGCCCCTCCGGGTCCCTGACGCCGTCCCCCGCTGCAGGCGGCAGTGGCGGCTGCCCGGGACCTTGTCCTGAACTACGCTGGGTTGGCGCTGTTTGCGGGCATCGTGGCGCAGGTCCGTGCGCGGTCTGCTTTAAGAGCCCCTTTGCTGCGCAGCGCTACGAGAGGCCGGGGACGACTGCAGCTCCCATGCGGTGAAATCACCAGTAGCCATAAGTGGAAAACTTGCAGTCAGGTTGCCTAGGTTAAACCGAAGGTTACTTAGGTGGACTCGGAATTCGTCTCTGGCACTTATGGCACGTCGGCGTACCTCGTGTTGCGTCCAGGACGTGACATGTGTAATGCGCCCTAAAACGCCCCAGCGAGCCCCCCGGAAAGCCTAATAGGACTGCCCTGGCCCTGGGGTTCTCTACATACACGGAGGCGGGTAGTAGAATGGAAACCCGGCCCACCCATCCTCAGTCCCATTCTTATTGGCCCGCCCAACTCTGCCGCCCTGCAGCCCCCAGCCATCGAGGCCCGTGGGTCACTGCAGCTCATGGATGCCCTGCTGCTACGCCACGGCCTGCCTACCGTCGCCCTAACCACCGCGGTGGCCCCCGCCTTTGCCGGGCCAGGCGGTGGCGGGGGTGGAGAGGCCGCAGCCGCGGCGTACACAGCCGGTGCCGTACCCATGCCGCCGGGCTTCCTTGAAGAGCTGGCTGTACGACATGACAATGACGAGGGACTGGCGGACGCTGTTTCTAAAATAGGTGCGGGATGTTCCAACGGTTTCGGAGCCCGGGCGTACTCGGGTCTTTCCGTGCATGTTGGTTGGCCGCTGTGAGGCGACGAAGACCAAGACCTGGCCCCGGCCGCCGCCTCCCCTCCGCAGGGTTCCTCCCAGATACAACAGTCTCGTCCTGTCCAGTGCATGAGCCAGGGCGCCTGGTACTGTCCTGAACTGAATTGCATTGTTCCAATCTGTACTGAACTTTACCAGACTGTACTGTACTAGGCTGCGTAGGCTTGAGGGCGGGGTTCCTAGCCCCACCCAGCTAGCTGCTTCTCGGTACCCTCTTCCGGTGAGGCCGCCTCGCCGTCCTCCGGTTGGTCGCCGGGTGCCCTGCCCGCATGCCCCAACCCCCCGGGGGTTGGGCAATCCTCTCAAGACCCTGCTTCCTCGCCCCTTGCTGCACATCTTGTCTCGTCCCTCCCTCCCTATGCTTCCCCACCTCCGGCCCATTCAAACCCTCCTCTCACCCTTCCCGCCCGACTCCTTGTTTTTTGCATCCATTTCCCCCCTTCCTCCCTTCCTGGTCAGTCGTGGAGTTGGCACGTCTGGTGTCCCGTATCTCCCCCCTGGGTGACCCCTCTCCGCACCTGACCTCCCTCTCGCACCTGCTCTCCCTGGAGCCAATAGCCCGGGGGGCGGTTGTGGCCAGGGCCTGGCTGCCCGCTGACCTGAGGGCCGTGTCGGGCAGGGCGGTGGTGCTGCCCGGGGCCTGCTGGCTGGGACCCTTCTTCAACATCAGGTGCTTGCCGTGCATGTTTGCAGTGTGTGTGTGTGTGTGTGTGTGTGTGTGTGTTGTATACGACACCGGGTTGTGGCAAGACTTATGTGACACGTGTGGACTAGGACTGAGGCTGGGAAGGGGGAGGGGTTGTGGGGAGTAGTAATGGCGTGTGGCGAAAGCTGGGTTGTAGTTTCCACTGCCGTTGCCGTTGCTGTCCATGGGGTTGGAGTGGGGCTCGAGCGACGCCGCGGGTCTGTGCGTTGGCGACCTGCGTGTGGTGGGAGTGTTGGGCACGGTTACATCCCCGCCGCGCTCATCGGACTAACATCTGGCGGGTTTGTTGCCAGAATGCTTAACAGCGCCGAGCATTATCTTCTCCCTGTAGTCCTGGGCGTAACAGGGGATCTGCATCCGCCGATCGGTACTTTTTTGAAGTCGTGATATAACACCCCCCCTCCTTGTACCTCGCTTCTCCTTTCCCTCTTCTCTTCCGCCTTCCCACGCAGTCCCATTCCTGATGACGTACGTGGAGCAACGGTTCAGGAGCCCGCCGTGTTGGCGCAGTGCTTCACCCGGATGGAGGGCCGGCGGCCGGGGGACGTGAACAACGCCGTGTCGGGGCTGAGACTGGCCATGAGGAACATCACGGGGCAGTTAAACGGGGTCGTCAAGGTGGGCCGGGGGGGGGGGGAGCTCGGCGAGGGAGACATCAGGGTTGAGGAAGGAGTCCTCGACCCCCCTTGCGGAGCTTGCCTACCTGCCTACCTACTTGCCTACCTACCTACCCGCCGACCCATGTAACTGTCTATCCGTCGGCTATGCACAAAACGCGGCTCCACCCTGCATGTCTTCTCGCTTCCCTTCTCCGCAGTCCCACCCACCTCCCCAGTCCCACTCTCTCCCTCCGCTTCCCCCCCTCGTTCTCCCCCTTCCCCCAGTCGCTACTGAAGATGCGGTCCACCAAGGCTGGTATGATCCGCTGGCTGGGGGCAGTGCTGGACGGCAATGCGGGTCGTGCCAAGCTCAGATTCGACCCGGAGGCCCTGGCGCCGGATGGCTTCCTGGCTAATGTGGCGGCAGGTGAGCGAGCCGGCAAGGCCAGGGAGGCCTAACCCCCTTGCCTTCAGCACGTAAGCGGTGTACATGAAGCATGTTCTCATCGGGGTTGGGGCCCCCCCATTCCTGAAACCTTTTTGCTAGGTCGTTATTAGTTGACAGCTGGTGGAGTGCCTCTTTTCTGACAGTTAAAATACGCACACACGCGCGTATTGACTGACCACCTTCTGGTTCGGCCGCTGCCGTACCTTGTACGACTCATTTTCCTCTCTGTTCCCTGCCCTTTCCTCGCCAGTGTTGCTGAAGCTGTGCGGCCCCTTCATGGACATCTCCCCGGCATCTCCCTTTTGGAAGCGGGTAGACCCGGGGTTCGTGGCGGCGGGAGGGCTGCTGGACGCGTCGTACGGCGGGGAGACGCGGCTGGCGGCGGCGAGCGACGAAGAGGCGGCGTGGCGGGAGCGAATCCGCAGCCACGCGGCAGCATCTGCCTCGGCGGGAGGTGCTGGGGGGGGCAGTGGACCAGGTAGGGGAGTGTGGCAGGGCGGTGACGAAGGCCCTAGGGTAGTTGTGATGATATGCAACAGTGCGGCTGCCCGCTGAGCACGACCGACCAATCCTGCGTTCTACACAGCAACTGAGTCAGGCACGTGTGGAGCTGTAGACGTTGAGAGTGACCTGCACCCCCCTGGTGTGTGGGGGGGGGAGGGAGGGGGGGAGAAGAGTCGCACGCGGCCGTGCTATCCGGGTTAATGCCGTGGCACAGGCTCTTGGTACGAGCCTAAACCCCTCCTAGGCACACTCCTCCTGCCCCTGTCCCCTCCTTAATCGTGTGGGCGAAGGAGTGTTCGTGCGTGCGTATTCGTGTTCGCCCCCACGGCCACTGTCGGCCCCGCTCTCACTCTCAGCACCGACCCAAATTTCGACCCGGGCCCTGTTCCACGCCGGGTCGGCACAGCCTCGCCAACCGGCGCCTCGGCAGCTGCCGCCGCCGCCGCCGGTGGTGGTGTTGGCGGTCCTGACGGCGGCGGCGACTTCCACTTCATCTGCCAGGCGTTCTTCCTGACGTGCCATGCGCTGCACATAGGGCCCGTCAGGTCCATGACCCACCTGGAAAGCGACCTTGCGCACAACGTGCACTTCCTGCGGGTGGGTGGATGCGACGAAACGGGGGCTTCTCAACCACTGGGGCTGGAGGGGCCGCAGAGCAGGATACGCCCGAGACTGGGAGCTGGTAGCCCTTGTGGTGCGGCAGAGGGGGTAGCTGGTAGACTGTGCGGGTTAAGGGGTGTGGTCATGAGTCTCGCACAATACTCGCCTCGTGTGGCCCGTGTGTCATCTGTACTTCGTCCGTACCTTGCCGTACCCCCCCTGCAGAGCCATGTGACGCAAACTGAGGCCATGATGCAAGAGTAAGCAGCTGTAAAGGGAGAAGAGGGGGCGGGGTGAAGTCGTGGAGCTAGGATCGGCGCATGGGGACGTCGGGACGGGGCAGGGTCCAGGGGAACTGTGCGGTTGCCGCAGTCGACCTTCTTCCCCTTTTTGTCGTGTGAGGAAGAATGTGGGTGGAATCTCTAGGGGCCGCTCACATCTTGACCTCCACCCCCGATCGAATCCCCATCCCCGGGCTCTGCGCCGGTCTGACCGGTGGTTACCCCTTCCCCCACCTCACTTGCGGCCTGGGCTCATACCCGCTCCTTTCTGTCGGCGCCCTCACCCATTCGTGTGTGCCCCTGTCTTACCGTGGTGCCTCTATCTCCTGAGCTTCCCTCCCAACACCAACTTACCTCATTACTCCATCGATCACCGGGCAGCTGCGGCATTGCTTCCGACTCCACATCGGCATCTGCTTCTCATGTGACAGACTTGCATCATCATGTAATCCCCCCGCCCCATTTTCTACGGTGTCAGGCTGTCCAATCCTGGCGAGCGCGCCATGGCCGAGTTGGCCCTCACTCGCGCCCGGGCTCAGCTGGACTACCTGCAGGCCCGCTACCAGGCCTTCCTCACAGTGCTGCTGGACCCCGCGCTGGTGACCGACATACTGGGGTTCTACAGGTGGGTCAGGAGAGAGCCAGGAGGGTCCCGCGGGCGGCCCGGATCCGAAACCCAGGGTTGACCTCCTTTCCGCATTCTCGTTTCAGTCCTGGGGTTATCGCACCCCCATGTGCAGCTGGTTGAGAAATAGTCAGACGGGGAACTGCATGCTCATTTCTCCCATCCCTCTGCTCGATGCAGCCGCGCACCCAATCCATAAGGACCCTCCTGCCTTGCCTAAAGATTTAGGCCTGTCCTCCCCTCCCCCTCTGATTGCTTTTCCAGGCTGATGGCCGCCTGGCTGACCAGCCTGGCTACGGGCAGTCCCTGGGGCAGTGGCGCCACCTCGCTGTCACTGCCCCTGCCGGAACCCGCACCGCAGGACTTCACGTGCATGCCGGTGGGGTGGAGTCGGGGTTCGGGCCGGGAAGGGTCAGGAGGGGCCGTCTTGTAGGGCCGCCGTGAGTAGCGCCCCATAGCCCAGTTAGCCTTTCAGTTTGCAGCACGAGTATAGGCCGTTGAAGGGCTGCTGCTGCTGCCGATTGTTGGTTACTCGTGCTGTCGGGGGCAACTGATGTGGCCGCTGCGGTGCTTACTGCTGGCCGGTCGGTATCGACTGTCTGAAGGTCTGCCCCTCCGGTTGAGAGCTGCGTCGGTGCTGCCAGGTTGCTACACCTGCTTGCTCCGCCTCTGTCCCATGTGCGTGTCCGTGGCCGCGATGAACCTCTCCGCGTATCCATTGGTCACGAGAATCTGGGTGGGCGGTTTCCCGCGTCCTGATCGCCCTCCCCTCCTGCCCCTCCCTCGCCTCGCCTCCGCTGCACAGGAGTACTTCGTTGAGGACATGTGTTCGGTTTTGTTGTTCGTGAGCCGCTTCGCTCCCCAGCTGCTGTCCTCCGCAGCGGACGGGGCGGGTGTACGATTGGACGAGTTTGCCGTTTTCTTCACCACACTCATGGCCTCGCCCAAGTATATTCGGTCTGCGTTCCTCAGGCAAGCAAGCAGGGGCCGCGGGAGGGGCTGCGCCGTGTTTCAGAGTCTGCGAGACCAATGCAGCTGCTGCTGTTGTCAGCTACTACGGGTGCGGCTGGTGGGGGTTAGGCCGATTGTAGCCCGCGCAGTTGGGCAGCGCAACAGAGACCGATGGGTCAGTAGTGAGTGAGTGGTCAGCGGTGCGGCTAACGCAGTGGCAGCAGCTTAGCGGGAGCACATGCAGCAGCTTCCCCTGGGAGGAGCCCCCACCGCTACGATGGTTTGATAAGTCCTCTGTGGGCCCCCGGTTGCCACCTCCCGACCGTCCCGACCACCGCAGCCGTAAGTGTTTAATCACAGCGATTGCTCCCCTGCACGAGTGGTTGCACTGGCGGATTGGAATAGCATTAAGCTGTGTCATGTGCTGTCGCTTTAAATCCGACGCGTGTACGGCATGCAGATCGAAGCTGAGTGAGGTTTTGGAGCTGTGGCTGCCGCAAAGCGACGAGGAGGATCAGGGCGGGTGAGCGGAGTGCAGCTGTGTGAGGCCGACTAGGGGCCAAGTAATGTATGGACGCGACCCTTATGCCGCCTAAAAACCTCACCTTCTTGCTGGCTCCGTGCTGCTACCTACCTGTGCCGCCCCAACGGACATGGCCGTACTAGGCACCGGCCTGATTCGAACTCTCACTTTGGCAGGTCTTCGCGCTGCATATGTGTGTGGTGTTATCTCTTCTTGCCAGTAGCCTAATAAGGCCCCATGGGCCCATTCCTTGGGTGCCCCCCAGGCTTCCTTCCTTCCTGGCTGGCTTCGCCCCACGCCCCGCCCGTGTCCGGATGTCTGTTTTCCTTACCGCTCCGTCCCCTCCCCCACCCGCATGCCGTGCTTTTACCGGACCCGGGGCATACTCTCTTCCCATCCCCTCGGGTTGCCGGGCCAATGACCGGCGGCAGGCGCTCTGCGTTCCGGCGGCGCGCTCCCGCTGGGCCCTCGGCGGAGCTGGCGGCGCTCTTCAACTGCCACCCGCTTGTGGTACAGAACCTGACGCCCGTACTTGTACGGCTGTACAACGATATTGAGCACACGGAACGCGAGGGTGCGTTTTACTTCAAGTTCAACATGCGTACCACCATCGCCAACATCCTCAAGTACCTGTGGGCCCAGCCGCACCATCGGTGGGTCATGCTGGCGGAGCCACGGCACTAGCCGCAACTGCCAACTGCCAACTGCCAACTGCCAGTCAGGCGTCCTTATGTGGACATACGGAATGATGTGCGGGGTCATGACGCCACAGTGCGTGTTTTGGAGTTGGAAACCTGTGTGTGTATGCGCACGGGAGGTGTGCCGTGGCAAACCCATGCATAGTGCCAATTCGCACCTTCCTCCTGTGGTTGAGGAAATGAAGTAGTGTCTTTGCCCTGGTAGCGTACTATGCGCTCACGCCCACACACAGGACAGAAGCCACCTCGGCCGCACGGCGCCGCTGGCCCTTGCTTCCTTCCCCGTTCCCCGTTCCTCCTTCAGGGCTGTCTGGCTGGCTGCCGTACGTGCTGAGGAGTACCGGGGCAATAGCGAGCGGTTCTCCAACATGTTGCTCAACGACCTGACCTACCTGCTTGATGAGGCGAGTGCTGGGGGGGTGGGGGCCCTGGCTTCGGGACGGGGGGAGTCCAGGGCCCCAGCAGTGTTGCACGGCGCGTCGCAGCCAGGCCGAGGGCCCAATGCAGGTCAAGGAGGGCCGACGTGGTGGTCGGTGTGGGGACAAGAGCGCGGCAGGTTCAGCCTGGCCCTTGCCGTTACCTCCCCCGCCTTTTTTCGGATAAAACCCTTACCCCTCATCACCCCTGCTCATGGCCCCCGCGTAGGCGCTAAAGCTGCTGAAGCTGCTCCGTGAGGCCGAGGATACCAGGGCGGATGAGGCGAGGTGGGCGGCCATGTCCCGGGAGGTGAGTGGATGGGGGAGGGAAGGGGGACCGGGGGGCCCTGTTGTATGCACCTAGGTATCAGGCACCATCCCCTGCCCCTGGCTCACTGTCGGTGCTCTCCCTCCCCCTCGCCGCTTCCCCCCACCCCCCTACAGGACCGTGATGAGCTGGTGAACATGCAAGAGCGCAACGGCAACAACCTGACCGCCATGATCCGTTCCGCCACCTCCGTCATCGACACACTCAACTTCATCACCGAGGAGGTGGGGGAACGTGTGGGCGCGGGGGTGAGGGAGGGACGAAGCGGCGGGCAACTGGCCGTTGCACATCAGGTGCATAGAGGTGAGGTGGTGATTTGGGGCGCAGTGAGGAGGCGGCGCATCGGAACCTCCGCATGATGTGTACCCTTCCGGTCAGAGGGTGGGACCTCCACACACTCTTCCTCCTCCTCCTCCTCCTCGTCCTCCCCACTACACGAGTTGTACAGGTGCCCTCTTGCTATCGCCTAGCCAGGCCCCTCTTCCCATCCGCCCGCACCCCTACTACGCCACATCCCCTGGCCCCCTATCCCTAGTCGCCTGGGCAGCTCACGTCTCATCCTCGTCACCGGGTCCACCGAGTCCACCGAGTCCACGGAAGTGCTTTTCACTCCTTTGGCTTCCCTTTCCTCCCTAGCTTCTCTTGGCTGGTGGCTGATTGGCCACCCCTCCACAAGATTGAACCTCCTGCACTGTCCTCCCGTTCCCTCTCCCTCTCCCTTCCTGCGGGGCCTCTTCCCACCCCGGGGCCCACTTCAGGCCGACACCACCCGCACCCTGCTGCAGCCGCACATGGTGGAGCGGCTGCGGGACTCTCTCAACTACTTCCTCAAGTACCTGGTAGGCCCGGAGCGGCGCCAGCTCCGAGTGCGGAACCCGGAGAAATACAACTTCAATGCGCGGTGAGGCAGCCGGTCAGGCAGGCAGCCGGGTGGCCAGTCCGCCCTAGCTGTAACTCTTTCCACCGCACATGCATGCACGCAGGCGAGGCTCTAGGATGCCGGTTGACCTGCCCCCACTGAACCTCTTATTACCGCCTAAGCGCTCTCGGGCTCTACGCACTGCGTTCGTTTGCCTTTCCTTCCCCCGACATTACGACATCCAAACCAGACCTCCGCAGTTTTCCCCCCCTCCCCTTGGGGGCTACTGTAGTGCCATCGTGGCGGTCGGTCTGCTTAGTGAGCACTCCTAACATGGTCAGCCATTCGAGCTCCTCCGGTCTAAATCCGGTCTACCTCTAACCTCTACCCACCAACTCTCCGGTGCGTTTCCTCGCCTTACGCCCCTCGCCCTCCCTGCCCCCTCCCTGCCCCCTCCCTGCCCCCTCCCTGCCTCCACCTATGGACCCGCTTGTCGCTTCCTCTCTTTTTCCATCCCCCTCTGCTCCCATATATAATGTGGGATATCTGTTGTGATGCGACGTGGGGGTTCCCCAGGGAGCTGCTCCGCGGTCTGGTGACTGTGTACCTGCATGTGGACGCCATCGACCGGGGCATTGCCGCAAGCACCGGCACTGCGCCAGTCTTTGCGGCGGCGGTGGGCGGCGACAAGCGCTCCTTCAAGCCCGAGTACTTCTTGGAGGTGGATAGCGGGGGACATTGGTGGGGGAGCGGGCAGCAGGGCGGAGACCGAGAGGAGGGGAGAACGCTTTGGGCAGCCGTATGTTCGTACATGCTTACCCCCTATCATCTGTCACTGACGTGTTTGTGCTGAGGAGCGCACACGCGCTTTCCCATACCGCTCGCTACGTGGTGTCCTTGTGTTGTAATTGCGACATGCAGACGGTTTGATATGCAAACGGCGGGAGATCCAAACGGGACGTCTCTCGCCTTTCTATTCATCGGAATGGCAATTCCCCGCTCAACCGCCATTATACAGAATATCCTTGCGTTCATTGCGGACTTCCTTCGCGAGCTGTGTGCGGCGGTGTCTCCTTTTTGTCGCGACACGAGGGCCGCCGGTCGCCCCACGTGCCCGAAAATCCTGTAGCCCTGACCTCGCTTGCTGAGCTTCCGGAAGGAGCTCCTGAAAGGCTAATCGCGGCATTTATCCTTCCCTGCAAGGAACTTAGGCCTTTGTGCCCGTCTTGAGCCTCGTCGCCTGCAATCCCCATTTCCTGCGCCTACCCGTGTTTTCGTCCCGCTCTCCTCCCCGCTCCTACCTCTTCCCTTCCCTGCCCCGCAGGCCCTCGCAGTGCTGGACGCCTCAGGGCTGCTGAACGTGGGTCAGCGGGAGCAGCTTGAGGCGCTGTCGCAGCGGGCCCTGGCGGCGAGCAGTGTGGCGGAGGAGGAGGACGAGGTGATGGGCGAGGACGTGCCGGAGGAGTTCATGTGCGCCATCATGTCGACCATCATGAAGGCAAGGGACACAGAGGGCAGGGAGGGGAGGGATAAAGGAAATTACGTACGTTAGGGCTAAGTGAGCAGCTCAGGCCCGAAAGGGCATAGAGCCGTCGTGGAACACCAAGGGGCGAATGGTGTGGGGCCAGGAACAGGAGGAGGGCTGGTGTTGGAGGGGCGGTGCGGCTGTCGGTTACGAGGGAGGCTTTAAAAGCCTTAGGACGCCGTACAGCGCTGGCTCCAAGCAGCCTGGTAGCCAGCCTAGACGGCCCTTCCCCCCGGCGGTGTGTGGCGTTCTGTCCCTTACTTGTCGGCCATGATACGCGGCCAACGGGGTTTTCATGCTGTTTGCCGTTGCTCTCCTTAAAGACCTTACCGGTACGCTGGCGGCTCTCGGGCTAAGAGGCGAAAAGGCCTTACACAGCCCCACCTCTCTGATTTGCCATCCCCCATGCCACGCCACCCGTCCAACACATTCACCCACCCGCCCGCGCATCTTCACCTCCGGCTGCAGGACCCTGTGAGGCTGCCCAGCGGTGTGGTGGTGGACCGACCCAACATCCTACGACACCTGCTGTCAGACGCCACTGACCCCTTCTCCCGAATGCCGCTCACCGAGGCGCAACTGGTGCCGGAGGAGGGTCTGGCGGCGCGGATTGCGGAATGGCGCAGGACCCGCAGCACCCAGTAAAGGATGGGCGCAGGTAGTGGGGTCCTTTTGATGAAGTGGGAGGTTGCAACTTGTAGGCCTTGCTTCGACACCTTCAAGTTGCAACGGCGGAGTAGGGAGACGGTGATTCGTTGTGACGTAATAATCTGGGCCGCACCGGCATCGGCTTTTTGTGTACACGTGTGCGTCGTTCTCGGGGTGTGCGGGCGAGGGGGGCGAGGCGCTGGGGTGTGTAGAAGCAGAGACATCTAGGACGCCAGGGGATGACATCTGTTTTGTCGTACTGGTGTGCTTGGTGTGCGGGTTCCTGTTGAGCGGACAAGAACAGGTTAAGAAGCGGATCAGGGCTTTTTGCTAGCATTCCATGTCAGGAAGAGATAAAGAAAACGCCCATACGAGCCGTTACGTTTTGCAAGTTGCACCAAGTGGTAACTGAAGGTCTTCGGGACGTGTGCAGCTCCGCTCCGAGCGCGTCAGGAGCATCTTTTTAGGGGGTTGAGGGGGTAGCCGGTGTTGGGGGTTTTTAAATTTTGCGTGTGGCTCTGTCCTTCGTTCCTTGCGAAAGTTTTGGAGTTGTGCGTCCGACCTGTTGTGCTGCGCTGACGTCGTGTTATGAGAAGGTCGTGTAACCAGCTGGTTAGACGTTGACGTGTACTCCCAAAAGAACCTATCCGGCTGTTGTGCACCAGAGTGGCGATGTGAATTTGAACTTGCTTCCTGCACAACCCTGCCAGACGACGAGCAATCCGAAGCTATGGCTATAAGCAAGATTGCGCTTGTCCACCACCTAGCCACACCGTACCAGACATATCAACAATTGGGGATGACGTGTTTGTAGCTCTTGCGGCCGCCGCCGCCACCCCCGCATACCCTTTCACAGCGCACTCCTGCCACAGGGTTTCATCCCTGCTAGACCCTGTTCTGTGTCCTAACCGCGATGCCCGCCAGGTGATGCATAAATAGGAAAGATGTTATAGCTCGGAAGGCTTCGAAAGGCATTCGGTAAAGGCTTTTCGCAACCCAAAGCAAATCAGAGCACAGGCCAAGCACAGACCACAGAAATAGAAGATATATCAAAAACACGCGCGCCTGCTCATAGCAGCATTTTCCGCTAAGGCGATCCCATTCCAAAAAACCGGCGGGGGTCGTGGGATACGGCCATATACTGCTACCGTATACTGCTCTGACGGCACTGGGAAGATCACGAGGTTTCTTAAGCACCTGCGTTCCCTTCACCGTCCATGTTCGCTCCGGGCAGTGCTGCTGCCAGCAGCCCTGTTACAACAAATGAAGAGTACCCTCCAGGTGGTCCAGGGTTCCCGAAGTTTCTGCTGACCGCGACACATGGCCATCCCCACAACCAGGCACAGTCCTGCCGACTGAAGGAAGCGCCATCGACATCTTCTATTTCAGTACAGGAGGAAGAAGCAAGTGGGCTCGCCTAGGGTTTCTCGAACAAGTAATGCCCGACGCCCCACTCCTGGCCGCCGTTGTAGTTGAACAGCTCGCTGCGTTGGCGGGCAAATGCCGTGGGGAGGGGCAGAGGTTGGGCCGCGAGGTGTGAAGTTGGTTAAGTTGGTTCACTGAGACAAGGCCCGTGGGCAAAGTAGGGGTAAACTGTTGGGCCCTCCCTCCCACCACAGTCGCACCTGCAGGCCATGTAAAAGATGCGCCAGCGGTGGTACCAGACTGACGCGGAGTCCTTACTTCCCTTGTAGGCACCGTCCAGGATGGTCAGCACCTGTGTGCGCATGCGGTCCGTGGCGGCAGGGGAGGGGAAACAAGGACGGATAGAAACTCCGCAATAACACAAAAGCGCAGCAACTGAAAGCGGCCCTTACACCGACCAAAAACGACTCGCCCTGTCCTGACGTCAGTCAATAACCCAAGTGCCTCAGCAGCGCTTGCGGAAAGACTGGGCGCCTGGCCACCGCCTGGCCATCACCCCGAACAGCAGAAGAGATGCACAGGTGGGAAAAAGACGTCGCACGGCTTCACACGGTGCCCGTGACAGCTCCCCGTTTCCTCAAGGTGCTGATCCCCCGAGAGGCCGTTAAAGAGGCCAAGCGACGGGAGCCCGGCACGACCATAACCCTGCTGCCCTTGCGGACAAAGGCAACGCATGACCCTCATCCCTCACTATCCGGGAAGTCCCGAGCTGCTGCGGCGGCAAGGGGAGTTACCGCCAGCAGGGGGCCGGCCCATCTCACCGAGCTGCGGTGCCGGTCATGTCGTACCAGCCAGTCTTCCAGAGTGCGCGAGTAGTGCTGTCCGTTGACATACCTGTCCAAGTTGCCGTCATTGTGCGATGAAGTCGTGTGTGTGTGTGTGTACAGGGAGGGAGAGTGGGGCAGGAGTGAGGGACAGACGACGGGTAGTAAAAGCGCGGGGCCGGAATGCGCTGCGGGGGAGGAGCGCCAACGAGGATACACAGATGTGGTGCAGACCATGGGTAGGTGAGGCCATATGCAGCAGCCCCTGGGGCCTGTACTGCCTCTCCACCACCACCACCCTAACCGGTATCGCCAAGTGCAGCAACCGCAGCGGCGGCCACCACCGCCCCGGTCCTATCCGTTATTGAATGCTGTCATCCCGCGCCATTCGGGTCCCCTCCTCCTCCTCTCCTCTCACCACTGGTTGCGGATGCGGAGGTCATCTTGGAAGTAGAGCAGCAGGTCCAGGGAGGGCATGGTGCCGCCAGTGAAAAAGTACTTGCTCATCCAGTCTGGGGAGATAGGCAAAGGTTTTGGGAGGACGAAGACAGAAGGGGAGAGAAAAACATAACGGATGAGGATGGGGGGGATTGAGACAGAAATGCATCAATACTGGGCGTCGGGCCGCAGCAGCAACAGCAGCAGCAAGAGCAGCAGCAACAGCAGCAGCAACAGCAGCAGCAGCTGCCAGGAGTAGGAATTCAGGCCAGTAGAGCCAGCCCCAAGTCAATAGACTGCATGGCCCAAGGGATGTGTGATCCTGTCCTACTGTCCTACAACCAACCTCCCCAAACAAGGACTGCATGGTCTGGAGGACATGGTCTGGAAAAAGGTCATGGTCTGGAAAAAGGTCATGGTCTGGAAAAGAGGGGCGATAATCAGGAGGTGACCGGAAAGCCCAGGCAATTAGGCAACAGATAGGCAGACAGGGATGGATAGGGATGGACAGTTCCTTATCAGCTCTACGTGCTCTCACCCTCCTCCGACTTGACCTCGAAGTGGTAGGGGGTGGACCGATGTACGAAAATGTGCACGAAGAGCTTGCCGCCGGCTTTCATCCACCGCGATACCTGTGCACGAGCCATGGAGTCGAAAAGTCAGGATGAACCTAGAGGTGCCAGCCATGGCAGCTCTTGTTTTGCATGGAGAGGAAAAATCGAAAGCCCCAAAGGCTCCGCCCTCCAGTAAGGCCATCATTAACACTGCTGCGCTGTCTTGGTTTAGGCACCGCCACCTCGTTCCCTGCTCCACATGTCATTCGCCTGGAAAGCGCGTTTGCTTGCCCTGCGGGCACACGGTGACCTTTCCGTGGTCTTGCGACCCACCGCGGTTCTGGGGTTTTCATGCGCAATTATGGGCGCGTTAAAAGACGGCTCTACCTGACTTGTCTATATCCAATTATTTTGAAACCTCAGCCGGGTCAGGAAGCCACAGCCTTTGCACAGCTGTGATCCAGCAGCCCTCCGCTCCGCAATGCCCAAGGACTGCAACCCCCCTGCACCCACCTTGTTCAGCAGCAGCTTGTAATTCTTCATGTGCTCAAACATTTCAATCGAAACCACCCGGTCAAACGGATCCCCCGGTGCCTCAAAGTCCACCATGTTGGCCGTTATCACCTGGCGGTTGGCAGTTGTCGGTTAGACGCAGTGTGGAACAGCGGGAGGTTTTTCATGGTACGGCCAGGCCAGCGTCCCTCGTGGATGGCGGGATACAACCAATCGATACGTGTGCGGTCAATGTTCCTCCCCACCCTCTTACCGTGAGGTTGTTGATCTCCCGCTTCCGGGCCTCCTCATCGATGAACGCCTTCTGAGTGGCCGAGTTGGACACCGCCACAAAGGTGGATGCCGGGTAGCGGGCCGCCGCAAAGAGAGAAAAGGATCCCCAGCCGCAGCCCAGCTCCAATACCCGCTGACCAGGAGCCAGCTGCGCTCGCTCGCAGTACAAATCTGTGCAGGATAGGTTGTCACCCCGCGGCTAATTACAAGGCTTGTCCATTTCTGCACGGCTTTATAACGCCTCGTCCACTTGATTTGGCATTACATACAGACACACACATCGGCGGATAATGGGCACCCGACTATCACCACCACGAGCACAGGCCGCTAGCCTTGGCAGCTAGGCGCGGCGGTAGGCTGAGGGGGAGGGCGCGAGGAGCCTGGAGCTGGTTTCCCCGCCACCTGCGCCTGAGGGGAGCTGCCCGAGGGCCCACAGTGCGCCCCTATTCCAGTCCGGGCCCCTAGCAGACGGCTGGTTGGTTGCCATCCCTTCCCAAGCTCCTGCTCAGCCCCCTAGCTCTCTCACCTAGCATATTGTACTCGGCCTGGTTCAGGGCGTCCTTAGGCGTGCGGTACAGACAGCTGCTGTACTTGAGGTGGCTTCCCAGGCACAGCAGGTAGTACGGAGTGGGGATCTTTGCGCACGTGTTGACGAGCAGTACGGCAGCAAGGCGGGGTGTAGCGGGAGGGAAGGAGGGCAGTAGCAGGGGTCAGCATCAGGGCGGTACGGAGATCGCCGCTGGTGGAAAGGTTGAGCACCCCCCTATGTGACCGCTGACCGGCTAGGTGATCAGGGTAGTACCGGGACACATGACATTAGCGATGTGCGCACAGACAAGGAAATGATTGCAGGTAGGAGCTGCATGCTACGACACACAAGCAGTGCACGCAATGGCTCCGTGGTTAAGAAGACTGAGGGATAGGGGTGGTAGCATATGCAAAGTCGATGAAACAAGTGCCGGTGAAGGGCGCGGGCGGTGTGTGAGAGAGGGTGCGGTCACGACCCTGGGAGCCAGTGCTGGAGCTGCACTATGGGCTGTCATGGTGTACGACCATGACGTACACGGTTACGGCTTCCGGACCCATTTGCCGATGGAATAGTCACATTTTGGGTGCAGGTTTATGAGCTCCGAAGTCGGGGCAGGAGCTGAGGGAAACACGAGGGGGAATAATTGTTCGTAGCAATCGAAGGGGAGCAGTGGATCACAGGGCGATCCCAAGGACCATATGTGGCCCAGGCACAGAGGGGCATGGTAACGACCGAAGCAGGAGGCGGTTGCGCACCGCACTTGTACGACATGCGCCAACCGTCAGTTTCTTCAGGAGTCCAACTAGACAAGTTCCAGAAATATGGCACGCATATCCCTTCATAGCTTTGCCCAAAGCCCTTTGCAGGCTGCCTGCAGAATGAATTGGGCAGGCTGCACTACAGCAATTCATGCGAACGTGAAACTCAGCGTCCCAACCTCGTAATGCTGCTCGTTCGCTTCCGCTGTGTTAATCGCAATTGGCATCTTTTTCAGCTCCTCGACAAACGCAATCGTCTGTCGCAATCGCGCATCCAGGTCTTTGGGAACCTGGCAGCGCGTCGCAACCGAGGAACAACAAACGGCGATCAGCTTAGCCGAGTAGGTTTTCAGTAAGGTACTTTACGGTATTAACCACACTCACCTCCTCGACACGTATGCTTAAGAGATAGCGAATTCCAAAGCGTAGAATGAAGTCAGGAATCCTCCCAGCTTCTGTTGAATCTATGAACGCTTTAATAAGTGCATTGTAGATCTCTCCAAGCCCCAGCTTTTGGCGCAGCGTACGCAGCAAGGCAAGGAGCATTCTTGGGGGCCGAAACTTTGAGACTGTTGAGGTGACACAACTTTTCTCTGAACGCGTCAAGAATCTCGATCTATACGATAGCAGGCTCATAGATGAGAGAAGTAAGGGTTCGGTTTTTGGTTGCCACACTTCTAACGGTGTAGTACAAGGGCGACTGAGATAAGGCATACTGTATACTGGGTAAGGAACTCGAATTTCATTTCATTTTATCTCGGTACTGCCAAGTATTTGTAGAGCTTACAATTGCGGTGAAGACAATGCAGGAACCAGAATTCGGCAAATAGAGTGTTTTGGTTTCGGGAGCGGGTCGATTTCTGTCATGACTGCCGGCTCCGGCCGTCGGGGCCCCCTTCGAGCCGCAGAGGAGCTTTCGTATGGGATGGTAGGCGGATGGTCCTATTTCTGCAAGCTGGTCGGCTTCGGGGATTGTTTTCGGGAGTCTCGGTACGACCAGAAGTGCCCAGAGCGTTTGCCGATGTCTGTCAGGAAGCCTACCACTAGGGTAGCAAGTATCCATTATAGTACGCACAGCAAGGTCTTCTCTAGCTGCGTTCTCTAAGGCCATTTCCCTTTGTGGCATGCAAAAGACCACTGAAAAACTGCCATTAACAATTGCGTGTGTTGTATGTAAACAAGAAACAGTGCACAGGGTGGTTGATGGCTTAGTTTAGGGATGAACTTCGCGACCATCCGTACGCATTTCGGTGTTACGTCTTTGGGTTTTGCCGGTGATTCGAGGACGGCAAATGGTGAGGAATTCGAACACTTATTATACAAACTTTATGCCGTTTCCGTTGACATACTTGGGCGGCTTGGGCACTAGGTTGCCAGCGGGTTTTCCAATTAAATAGCTAGTCTTAAAATAACATCCTTCATGTGACCCCTTTGGTTACAAGTTGATGCCAGGCAGCGGGGCTGGCTGAAGTCGACTGGCACTAACATACAGCCGCTATGGGCAGCTGTCTTTCCACAGGAAATGGACATTCTCTTAACAAAGCTGATCAAACATCCAACGACGCGACCTCCGCGATGGTCGTGCCGGGTCCCGATCATAGCCAGCCTTCAGACAAACCTATATCGAACATCGCAACATTATCAGATGAAACAAAGGACTTTCCGACTATGTCCGATTTCCCTTTAGCTGCAAGCAGCAGCCGTCAACAACCGTCACAGCCAATTGCCCCTGTCAGCCCCGCTCGCCAGCTGCCTTCGGAAGGCGTGTCAACGTCAAATGAGCAGTCGCCTTTCCCTCTTCATACTAGCAGGCCGAAAATTGCCTTTGGCCCACAAGACAGCCATATGAGCGGTGAGCGCTTTCTGCTCCTTCCCCGTCAGCGTGTTTGCTTTCTGGAAGACCATAGCATCCTACAAATGAATCTGCAGTATATCCGGAGGCTGTGGAGTTGCAGCCGACTTTGGAACCAGGCCTACCCGCCTTACCGGCGGACGCACAGATGACTTCGGCGTCTACGACGGTGAGATTGGTTTTTTGCGCTCCAAATCTCGCAGCTCCGTAACTGTCACCTGCCGGAACGTGCTCGGAGACTTTGGGGGGTTCGGCCCCTGGCCTTGACACATCCCAACCCTTTCCCTCTGCCCACCCACCTTTGTCGGCGCCAACCTATGCCCACAGCCTGCCGGGAACGTACTCATGCAACTTAACCGCGAGACGATCCTGCGGAACCGGATGGGCATGGGAGGAATGTTGCCAGCCCCACCACCCGGGTTGGCAACGACAGGCAGTGGCACGGGTCCCGACGGTAATCAGGTCTTAGCGCCCAATCAGTTGCCGCAACCTCACAACCCGCGGATGGATGGCAGGGAGGGCTCTGTCGCTTCGCCGCTCGCTGGGAACGGCAACGTCTTTGGGGTGGACAACTGCGGTGGCTCGGGAGCGTTCGACGCCCAGGTACAGCTCGCACCTGTTGGCACGAGTGCCGCTCTAGGCGATATCATTGCTGGAGCCATGAACTCTACAAGGACTGCACGGAGCATCTCCGCAAACGATTGCATGGCTGTGAGTTCCGCCAGCTGTGCATCCGGCAACCTCAGCTCCGCCGTTCCTGCGTTCGCATCCGGGGCCAACGGAGCCTGCAGCGGTAACCCCACGAAGCCCACGTACGGCCTAGGAGTGGAGGCGACGTTGAGCGAAATGCAGCAGATGGCGCTGATAGGCAGCGGCGGCGGCGGCTGCGTGTACATTGGGCGGTGGAGAGGTGTCACAGTTGCCATTAAATTCATTGTTAGCAGGTATGTAGGAAGATGGCTTGGGGGGCATTCTCGGAAACGGGAGGGCTTTGGGCTTCGCTTGCCTGAGTAGGCTAAAGTGCGGAAAAGGTTACTTGAGGTGCCGTTGGTGCCCTGGACCCCAATCGCAGTTCCAGTTTCCTAACGACCTTATGGGGCGTCCTCATGATCCAATGGCACAGGAGGTATACTCTTCAGTCGGGAATGCAGCTGCGTTGTTAGCAGTTGTTGTTACATATCTCGCATACAGCCCGCGTACCTGGTGCACCGGTGTTGGTACCTACCCTGCATGCCGCTGCCTTAAGGGAAGCGAGGGTGAGGCCCCAACACGCAGCAAACTCTTCCATTGTTCTCCTTAATGCTGGACCCTTACAACATCTAAAACCTGGCGCAAGCCCGTATTTAAACAGATTGGGGGCCGGGTAGGTCAAGTCCTTTCCCGTTTCGCCTCCGCCTGCAGTGTGGTGGTTGGCCCCCAGCTGTCAGGCCGGTGTGGTTAATAACGTTCCGCGCGTGGTCTACCTTGCGTTGTTGTCCCCGATGGCCGCTGTTTGCCTTGGGCCCTTCCTTAACTACCCCCTTCCGATCTTTGCCACCGCTGTAACTTTTGTCCATCCCCAGCAACGACGACCAGCTCACTCGAAGCCAGCGGGAGGCGCTGCTTAGTCGCCTAGCGAGCCACCCGCACGTGGTTCAGACGTACGCAACGAGTGTGACGCAGCTGAATGAGGCGATGTTTAAGCCGAAGGTGAGTCCAGGGTAATGGTAAGCGTTGGAGCAGGAGGCGGTTGGGGAAAGCTAAGTGGCCCCCAATCCTCCCTGCTTGTTGCGCGCACAGGTTATGTATGCGTGCACCGCATGGTCGGGATTGCGTGGAATTTGTACCTATGAACCTGCACATACGAGCCACAAGGGCTTTTAGCTGCCTGCTATAAGCTATAGGTAAAGTACCGCACAACAAACGAGGTCGTGGCATTTGACTGGTTGCATGCCAGTGTGCTTGAGGTTCATTGCGCAAGCGCACACGCACTCCAGGCCACAAATCGCAGGGTATTGCGGATTATGAATGCTTCGTAATTTTACCACAGCTAGCGAGAGCTAGCGCTGAGCTACATGTAGCTACGGTCTTCATCAGCCTTGAGTCGCTCCTCCCATATATTCGACGCTGAGAGGTCATCTCCGGCTGGACGTGCTTTCGTCTGGCTGCAGGGTGGCATGCCGGGTGACATGCTTCCCGGCGGTATGTCCGTCTCGGAGGCTAGCATCTCCCATGACCTCCTTGCCGGGCTCACGAGCGGCTCCTGGATTCGCACCGAGCTTCAAACTGCCATGAACGGCGGCGGCTCGGAGGCACACGGCGCAATGGGGGCCATCTCCCTGCCAACCATCTTCGAAACTCAACAATCGTTGACTGGGTCAGGGTCCACGTCCGTGACGACAAGCGCCCGCGGCGGAACTCCTCATGATAGTGTCCCGCGGTCCAGCTCATTGCAGCAGGTCACGGGGTGCGAGAGTGACGGCGCGATGTCATCGCCGTCGATAACGGCAGGGACGCGGGTCGCTGATGCCGCACCGGCGTCCACCGCGGGACCTTTGCCAGCCGGGCAGGTGCGGTGGAGTGCGTCGAGGGGCGACAGCGATGGCTGGCGTGGTGGGAACTGAACATACGATGTACAGCCAAAAACGAATGGACTAAAACGAGGGATTTCTACAGCTAAGATGACATCGGAAACGAGCGCATGAGGAACACCATGTGTGCCGAATAGGATGGGTCGCCGTACTATTCGGACGGTACTGCTGGGTTTGGGCGAAGTGAAGCGAAAGCCGCTCATGCAGTGTAAGGCAGTTGAAGGTCACTCCCGCAACTTCATGCAGCGATCTGGCCTGCAGCGGTGAACCGGCAACACTACCGCGGTCCATCGGCGGACATGCGGGGAAAGCCGCTAACACCGGTGTCATTCTGCCGCATGAATATTGTTGCCCGACAGACCGGCGCCGTACTGCAGGTCGACCTCGAATAGCGTGCAGTGCGCAGCAGGGCACCGTGCGGGAGCCACGGCTGACCTTGTCTTTGCCCATAGCGCAAACCGCCTATTGACAGCATGACACAGACCCTGCCTCCCTGCCCACTCCTCTTATCTCGTATTGCAACCGCCTTCCTTATCCCCCAGGCGGACGCTCCAGCTGCCACTACCGCCGGCGCCAACTCTTCTTGCCATGCCGGTGACGCCAAGAGCAGCGTGAGCGGCTCACATCTGCATCTCCTGCAGGCTGTGCTCCCCAGTATGGGTACGAAAATGCCGGGCTCGGTCCCTACCTCGGGTGTTATGTCGGAAGGTCCGGCGGAGGGCGACCAAGCCGGGGCGAACAGCGGTGAGGGCGGCAACCGGGCAGAGGGCCATGCCTGCGGCGGAGGCGTCTCCACTGCGGGACATTTATTGTCAGAAGGGGAATCGACAGCGGAGACCACAACAACAGAAGTGGAGGCTCAGCAGCCGGATGGAGCTGGTGCTGCTGGCGATGGGGCTGCTGAGGCGGCGTCGGCGACCACGGCGGGAAAACGCGTAGCACTCGGCGGGGCAATCGGCGGAGGGGCGGACAGCTTCGACTCGTCGTTTGTGCGGGCCCACCTGGTAGGTAGCATTGTGCTTCTGTTTCGGTCTTCCGCCGGCCATTGCTCCAATCTGTGGCCACGAATGCGGCGCCTCTGGACGTGCGGACGCGCTCACCTTTCACGGCCTCCCTTGGAAGCAGGAGGTGCTCGTTGGTCTCCATATGCGCCGAAGGGGCACCTGCTCTTTTAGCTAGGAGGCGTATGTAGTCGAGTGGCCGTAAGGGAGCGCTTTCGGTAGTGGAAATGCTCCTAGCGACGGCAATTCTAAAGAAGGGAACGCGATTCCAGGTCTTGGTGATTACTGGGTGTGTACTAGGTGCAGGCGACCTTATGTGACCCGTGCGCAGATGTGTACTGGGATGTGAGGGTTTGGAAAAAACGTGTGGCAAATAAGTTGACTTACTGCGGTGCTCTGCGGCAAGATTGCAGTTTTCCCAACACACTACAACGCGAGCTGAGTGAGCTGCTTTTTGTTACACGCGCGGGGTGAAGAACAAGATTGCATGGTGCTAAGGACCTTGATCCAAACGATGCATGATGGGTTGCACGCGTATTTGGCAGGACAACTAAGGTTCTGCGCGACTAACCTTCAGATAGCCAGCAGCACAAGCCTGCGCTGTGGCGACGTGCAGAGACACGTCGGTGGGGCCAACAAGCCCTATCACAAAGCTGACAGCATGACGGCGCGTGAGAAGCTGAAATGCCACCAACTGTTTCCGCTGGCGTGCAGGGTCGCACCAAGTACTCGATTCACGAGGTGCTGCTCCAATTAGGGGCGCGGGAGGGACAGTTCCTCACCATGGTAATCATGGTACGTGAAGATTCGGGGATGGGGACCCTGCAGGGGGCCTGAGATTTGCGGGCACCTCCGGTTAGCGCACGTAAGGTCAGGTGTCGCCCTTGGCGTAGGGACGAGCATATCGCTGTGCAGACGATTGTCGGCTGGCGTCATGGCAGCTTCTTACATAGCTTGGGTCCGTTGCACGTCCCTGCAGGGGCTGCTGCATGTTAGCGAAAGGCGTGTTCTTAAGCTGCTCGTGCTCCGGCTGCGATCTAACCTTGACTGAAATGAAGAATTGTAACCTTGGCCCGCTTCGCAGGAGTACTGCGACGGCGGTAGCCTGCTCGCGGCCCTCAAGGAGGTGAGCGCTGGCAGCCCCCGAAAGACATGCGCAGCCTCAGGTGGCCGTCCGTGCCCTCACAAACTGCGACCGTCCAGCGCTCCGGTGACTGCCTACTAACCTGCCTAAGTAAATGATGTGACAGTGGGTCTGACAGCCTGATGTCGGATGCGTCATAATGGGGGTACATGCGTACCCAGCACATGGAGGCGTGGCATGGCCGCCACGGCAACTTCGCCTTGCAACGCCTTCCGTGGTGGCCATATCCTTTTCACGCACCATGCCCTTCTTGGGAGTTTATGTGTACCCTATATCTGCATGAAGCCAAAGTGATTATCTCGCCAAAAGCTACGCTACATGTGTGCGTTTGTGTTACACCCTGAGCTGCGTTACTCCCCGAATGTTTGACATATCGACGCAACGCCTTCCTTGCGTGTGGAGTGACTGCGAGCGGTGCCTCGATCACGCACTCCGCTTTCGGCCCGACGTCTGGACCGCTTTCCTCATTAACAGCCGTCATTCCTCCCTGGATCTTCTCCCGCTCGGCAATTTAGGGTCCGTTCCACCGGGACACCACTTCTTGGAGCCCCCGTATGTGGTTGAGATCCACGGTGCGCACGGCGCTGGAAATCGCACACGGCATGAAGCACCTGCACCTGTCGGGGCTTGTGCATGGCGATCTGAAACCTGGCAACGTGCTCCTTAAGGTGAGATGTGTTGTAGCGGGCGAGTGGGCCGGCGTTCATCCCTATGCGGTGTCCTCCTGTGCTGCTTCTAATCAATCTGTGGCTGTTGCGCTGGGAGAAGGCTCGTGGCTCGCGGAAAGGGCACAGAAAGGATGTGTGTTAAGCTCTTTAGTATTAAAACTATCAGGGAGCGGCAGCTTGCCTTGCACAAGTGTGCGCTTGGGTGGTCACTTGGTAATCACAGTTTTCCAAGTTCACTGCAACGTCAATGCCCCTTGTCGTGCTATGATTCGTGGAGTCAGGCCTTTTAACCCTCGTGTGATTACGTTGCCCTTGCAGGGATCGAACCACGACAAGCGCAAGTTTGTCGCCAAGGTATGGGATACTTCGCACCCTGTGACCGTGTCAACTCCTTTTTTGTTTCTCTTACCTTGGCCAGCGATGTTCATGCCATGGCACAATGACACGGCGGGTTCACAAAATCCTTCTCAACCCGTTAATTTTCGATCTGCTGTCCAGATATAGAAATCCTGTGACTATTCCAGCTCGTGAATCGAGAACTTGGGCAGCATTGGGGCAAGCCCTGGGCCTGCTGTAGCCGTTCGCATGTGGGATGACGGGTGATAATTTGTGTAGCTAGTACTGGGCCCTTCGTGCGACGACGACTGATTGGCAGCCCTCGCTGATTTTAACGCCTCAAGGACAGACTGGGGTAATGATGTGGGTGGTGTTAGCCTGTTGCCCACATTACCAGCCCTCAATCGGCATGGCATCGGCGAGTCGCTTGATACTGGCTTGTTCGTGTTGCCCTTTATTCATGAGTTCAGGTGAGCGACCTGGGGATAGCACATCCCGTGGGGTCGGCGGACGAGATGGCAATTGATGACGGTCAAATTGGCTCCATCGCATATATGGTGCGTGGCACCGCATATCCGTGCAGTGGGTCCCGTTGGAGTTTGTTGGGACGGCGCTTGCCGCGTCGACAAACAGGTCTTAATGCGGCCCTGGAGGCTTGCCAGGGGCAACGATTGCTGCTAGAGGTGCTTTTGACGGTGTAGGAATGGCCATAGCAGGTCTTCACTGGTGCGTGGGATGGACAGGTCAGCACCCATGCGTTTGTGAATTACCTATCAACGTAGCATAACCGACGTCAGCGAGGTGTTTCTGCAAGCCTCGTCCTTCGGTCGCTGCCCAAACCGTGAGTCGCTCGACTATTGCACGCACATGGCGTTGAGCACAGCACTGCTGCGAGCTGAGACGCTGTTCCTGTGCAACCGTTTTCCATCGCAGGCGCCGGAAGTGTTCCGTGGTCGCATCATGAAGGCATCAGACGTATACTCCTTCGGGGTATTGCTCTGGCAAATGGCGTGCGGGACAGGTGCATTCAAAAAAGGGCGGGGGATATACGTAAGGATTTTCCATCGTGCCGTTTAGGTTCCTGCATAGCATAGCAGGGTCTACCTCGCCTGGTTTGTCCGCCACCGTTTATCTCAGCCTTGTTGAACCTTCCTCACCCTCATGGTTGCGCGCATCTGTCGGCGTTGCCCTGCCCTCAAAACTACTTTTCTGCATGTGCTCGTGCGGCTCGCGTGTCCTCGGATGCACACCGACTGCGTCGCCCTCAGGCTCCGCGCCGTTCGAGGGCGCACATCCTGTCGCCATAGCCTTGGGCGTTTCTGAGGGTAAGATGACATTGCGGTGGCCGCCGGGCGTATTCAGGCCTCTGCAGCAGCTTGGGGAGCTCTGCCTACAGACGGATCCTGTGGCTCGGCCGTCGTTCAAGTCAGTCGTGGGCGCTCTGGAGAAGCTGGAACGCCACATACGTCGGCTGTCGGCAGCAGCAGGAGCTGGAGTGGGAGGGTCAGGTTCAGGGTTGCCGGGAAGGGAATGTGTCACCCACCTCCCAGGAAAAGCTTCAATGGCGTCTCCGATGCCACAGCCTGCGTCGCAATAAAGACCCCGGGCGTTTAGGTGGCGACTTCATTTACATGGACATGTGCCCCGATGAGGTAAGTACCACGAGCTGCGTCAGCGGGCGTGCCATGTTCCATGCGACCTAGAGGCGCGGGCTGCGCTTCTGGCACAGACCGCGGCCATACCATGTCTTAGCGTTGCCCCAGTGTGGCATAGTCAGCGCTCTTCGGTATGGTGGCCGTAGTACTTACAGGGCACGGCACAGTGCCCGTCGAGGTCGATCCAAGGCACATTTCGCGTTCCTATATGGGTTCGCACTAGGCTCCTGTCTTCGACACTTACAACGCAATGGTGGCTTAGCGACCGTTGCTTGTTTCACCGTCCTTGTCCTTACCGGGCTTGTCTATTGTCTTGTTCTGAGCATGTTGTGCTATGTAGCATTCACTGCTTTCCGGTTGGCGGGGACTGGGATGGTAATTGCCACCAGAATGGCACCGAAAACGAGCGATTGCAACATCGGACGCAGGCGATGGCATTTAAAGCGATTATTTCGAATGTATGGTTCAAGCTCAGATGGGCTCGAGAACCTTCACGGTTTTACCTTTAAAACCGTACGCAGCATCGTGCGGGGCTGTTATGATGCGGGTGCGCTCTCGATACGCCGTATGAAGTACGTGAGTATGATTCCGAGCTGCTTTTCTTGTTTGTTGCTTGTGTGATCGAATAAATTAAAGTTGAGTCGCGGAGTGGCCTCGCAATGGAGATATGCCTTGATCAGCACATGGAAGTACACGACTTGACCGTGTTTTACAACGACAACTTTGTACAGGTTCGTAGAGGTGGGCACAACATAACGATGTCAATCTTAAAGCGTGTCGCCTTGTTTTGCGAGGAGAAAGAAGGGTGTGGCAACGTGGCCGAGGGTGGCGCTGGGTATATCTCACGGCGTATGCTGTAGGCGTCGATTGTCTGCTTTCTTTTGGGTCATTTAGGGCCTCGACACGGAAGGTCGACTGCGTTGACCTGGCTATGGAAATGGCCAGCTACGTACGAACAGGCTGTCTGCGCATGCTGCCAAGTGGTTGTGGATTTGTCGCACAGGTACCGTAGATTCGTATACTGCATCTTGCTCTTGCATCCCCCCCGCGGTTGACTCTTGTGGCAGCTGCCAGGCAGAACAGGTGCCGGGCGGCCATTTCCGACCTAAAGGCACTGTCATGGAGCATGGCCACTGACCTCGCAGAGTCTAGAAACAGCAGGCGCCAGCTCGGGGGTTTGTCCTTTCTCTTTTGAAAAGTTCCCTCTGGAATCTAAGAAAGTTCACCTGGTGTCTGGAGTGTTCGAAGAGTGTGTGTGCACTGTGCGATGGGTGTCACGAACTCTTGACTGGTTATTTCTCGTGGCTGTATAATGAACAAAGGAAGAAGCACGGGGGATCGAAAGAAGTCAAGCAAAAATGGGAGGCTCCAAGGTGCCTTGCACTGGTATGCTGTGTAGATAGTAGGATGTTGCCCTGCTGGTATCCCTGCAATCGCTGCGGTTCTGATACCGCGGAACTGCGCGCTGTGGCTGCGAGTGCTGCCAGCGGGTCATAATTTTTTCCCGTGCTAGACGTTCCTGTTGCGATGTTTTATTGATCGTTTGGAGTCTTTTGTGGTTATATGGACGTGGCTGTGCAAGATGGTTAATTTAAGTAAGGCATGGAACTTGCATGTGCAGTGTCGTGTGCTGAGTTGGTATGTCGTCCATATTTGGAACCATGTGCATGTGCGATTGCTTCTTGCGCGTCTTTTGGTTCAAAGTGTTGGGCATCCTTTGTGAACTGCCAAGAGTAGCTGTGGTAGCTGGTTCCCTCGATACTGCCGGCGACAATCACGATCTCGTCATACTGCTATTCTGGTAACGGTCTGTCATAACTGCAAAATCTTATCCATGCGAGATGCGACATCGTTTTCCGAAAGCTGACATTTTGCTCGTTTGTCCTCTTTGTAACCTTGGACACCCTCTTCAAACGGTCCTCTTGCCAACCGGCCAGAAGATGTGGATGAACATGGGCGCGAAGACCGCTTGTATCCCCAAATTTTTATGATCCTGTCATGGTTGATTTTTATCCCTCCTAGTGTATATGGACGAAGAACTGCAGCAGTGCAGCTGGAAGATGTCGTGCAAGCGGGCGACATCTATCTGGTGTCCTGAACGACTACCGGCTACTGTTTGCGGTTATGCATCAATCACACCAAATATCTACATGTTTTCTTATTTCACCCTGCAAATTGTACGTTTCCTTAGTTGTTCAAAACGAGGATGGACGCAGTGAAGAAGGCGGTTGTTGAAACTCTCGAAAAACAGGGCATTCTTGCACAAGTCAAGGTGACAGGAAGCATAACGGACAACATTCTTGAGTTGGGGGAAGCGATTTTTCAACGTTGACCAGCAGTATTTCGCTCGCAGGCGCAACTACGCGCTCAGGTTTTCCTTGCTGTGGAGGAGTATGATGGCCCTTCCTCAGGGTCAGGTATGCTGCGTCCTCAGTCGCTGGAAAGCTGGGGCGGCTTCACATTTCGGCTGCGTTCGCAGGACTTGCGTCCAAGACGGTGGTCCCAGCAAGGGCTTCATTACTTTCAGAAGCTAACGGTGAGCTGGGAGATGGCTTGGAGGAATTCCTTGCAGCGTGTTTCAGTTGAGTTTTGGAACGAGATTTTCCGCCGTTTCCAGGTCAACTTGCCGTCCAGCTAATAATGGACCTCCTTGATACTTGCAACTTCTTATTTACCAAAAGGGTGGGTCGGCAATGGTATTGCTTGTAAGTTCCTCTCCTAGGCCGTAACCCTCGTCGTTAACCGGTGGGCTGCCGTTGGTTCAGGTCTTCCAGCCAGAGCTAGGCCCCAAAGCGCCTGATGGTAGCCGCCACGAAGTCGCTCAAACTCTGGTAGGGCAACACCGTGCTATCCAGGGGTACTTATCCTCCCCAAGCCCCTTGCACGTTTAACGTCGCAGGGCCTAAAGCCATCCTCCCCGGATGAACCGCTACTTGTAACTCTGTTGAAGGCCTTTAAGTCAGGTATGATGTGATACCTGGAGCAACGCACCCGAATTAGCTAGCATCATGACACATGGTTCGTCCTTACCTGCTGTACACCGTCCATAGGTTCGTCTGCTCCGGCCACTGGTCCCTCGTCGTCCTCGCGGCCAGCGGATAACAGCAGCAGTTCGAGGGCACCTCCCCCCGTGCATGCGTCTGTAGCCACACCCAGTCCGGCCCCAGCTCCATCGTCCAGCGCGGCTCCAGCCACAGCATCCAGAGCCAGCGCACCCGCCGCCTCGCTTTCACGCTTGGAGCCGCTCGGCAAGCCGGCTTTGGGACCATTGCCGCAGCTGGGCTTGGCAATGCCGAAGCAACCAGACCCAGCGCCACCGCCTGCTACAGGCAAGCCACAGCAGGAGCCATCGGGAGCAGATACTGGGTATGAAGATGACTTTGAAGATGTGGAGGACACCGTGGATGCATTAGCGACGGGAGACGATGACGATGACCTTGCAAGGGCACTGGTACGTTGGCGGACAAGAAGGGACGTTCCTAGACAGTGTTTCACGGGCCCTGGTCACCTGCAATCTTCCTTGCTCAGGACATTACTGGGAAGCCGTAAGAGTTGCGTGCCTAGAACTCGGCGGAAACTCTGGAGTAGGACAGTGACTTGGTTTGGGGATCCAGTTGCCACAGAACAGCAGAGAGGATTGCGACGGCCGCGGTAACAGGACTGAGCTTAAGTGAAGGAAGCGTCCCCATAAACGCCACCACGCTGAAACCCTAAAATGGAACATACGTGACGACATCAATTCTTTCACCCACCTGTTCATCCATGTCCCTGGCACAGGGTTGCAAGACCACATCTGGACCCCCGAGCAAAGGCAAGTAGCATATGCCGTGCGCAGGGTTGCGGTCGCAGTGCGCGTACCATTGGCGGATGCTTATGCGTTCTCATGTGTCCTGTGCATATGTTGGCAGAAGAGCCACGTCCCCCTTGACCTATTTTATGTGCGGAACCATTATTTCTTCTGTTTTGTAGCGGCCATGTGGAAATGATTCTGTAATGATTCCTCCACGGGTGCAGGTGTCTTGATATCCTGGGCCTAATCCACGAACTCTTAAGTGTCCTATCCTTAGATGCGGGCCCACGTATAAGGACACAGTATTGCTCGTGTTCCGGAGCATTGACCCTTACTGTGCTGCACTCACCCTTACCTGCGCCGGGTCGCCAGATGTTGTGGACAGCGGGAAGGAGCGGCCTGGGATAGGCTTGGGCAGCAGCAGCCGAGGCCGCACGGCGCTGGACGCTGACTTGATGGCCGGAGACAGGTTTGCTAAGACGTCCAAACGTGTGTAGTTGTGTGGTCAGGTGCATATAGCGTTTCGCATGGCACAGGGAATGTGTGACCGCGAAGGTTGACCTTCCTTTTTGATGACATATGCACCGACGGCGTCCACGTGCAGGGCCCAACACGCTTCCATATAATTTCTGCATGGTGCTGGCAGTTATGCATGACACGCCGTGCAAATGTGGCCTGTATAGAATAGGTCTTTTCATGTGATATAGTCATGAACCACATGCCGCTTGAATTTATTTAGCAGGGGAAGGAGGAAGTCCACAGCGTTCTCCCATTAGGGCACACGAGCTGAGCTGGCCCCTTGTTGTGTGGACCCGAAAAGCCCTAATTATGGCGCACATGGGTTGCGTTGCAGCCGCGGTCGTGTCCTTGCATGCCCGTATACAGTGAAGCTGCCGTGGGCCAGGCCACGGCGAACCATATGGAGCTAGTGGCCAATTTGACGCGTGGTAGTTCATGCAGCTATTGCTAACACGCTGGCGTGCCTAGACTAATGCTGATATTGGTGCTATGCCTTTCTTGCAGGAGCTTTGGCGTCAGTCAAGAGCTTGCTGGGCTGGACGCTGGTGAGTGAAACATGGTGTTCGTATGGAAAGAGGAGGCCAATGCTGGCCTGGCTGATAGCAGGTCACAACCGGGCGTCTCCATCCCCTAGCTCCTGGAGCTGCCCACGCTCGCCATCACGTCAGTCCATGAGTTCGTCCTGTCCTTGACTATTTGGTGCAGGCAACAGTGGAGGCCTAAGCTATAGTACGGACTTTCCAGGCGGCGATGTGCGGGCATCTCTCTCGTCAAGCCAGGCTATGCTGTCTCCTATCAGCGAAGGCACACAGAAGATAGCAAAGCTAGAACCCCTGCGGTAAGAGCATTACGGTTGGTGCACAAATTTGTGGACTGCGATTAACAACATAAGCAATGGCGTCCGCTGTCTAACGCCAGCCAGATGTTGAAGTCACTAGCAACCATTTTCAACGTTGGCGCTGTTACCCTTAAGCCAACCCCAATGCCCTGTCCTTACTCTGTTTTGCAGACCCATCGGCGCCAGTAAACTGTCGCCCCTAGCTCCACTGGCGCCTCTCCCATCCTTATCAACGAGCTTGTCCTCCAGCAAGGATGACCCGTTGGGGACCAGGGGTGAGGCTACTCCGGGGGGAAGAGGCTAGGAGGGTCGCGAATGAACCTGAACAAAGGCCGCGATGTAAGCATTTTCCTTCCGCTCTTTTAATGAGATGGAGGATGTACCTAATTTTGGGCCGGCATTGGCACCCGTGTCAGTGGCCTCTGGAAGCCGTGCAGGGTGGTAAGTCATGACGGTGTATTGTACGCCTGCGGAGGTGCTGTGGCTTGGTCGACCCAATCGTTCAGCCCAAATGGAGATTGATTCCTTGCTTTCATGCGCATGGCTACCTTACAGGCCCCAAATCCCTCGCACCTCTCAGCGCTCCGGTTCGGAAGTCCATGGTGGACATTGAGAAAGAAAAGGAGGAGCTACGCAGGTGGGAGCCGGCGTCTCGCAGCACAGCATTACGATCAGGAACAAAATGTTCCACTGGGTCCACACTAGCCAAGCCGTGGCCTATTGAGGTGACACGGTACCCGAGACGTGTTTCGAGTAACCGCGCATTATCTCTGCTGACAGCTACTCCTTTCAGTCAATGGTTCTGCGCCCATAATTATTCGCTCGTGGTCCTGGTGCTTCCTGTTCACCTTATGCTTGTCCACACAGGCTTGGGCTGCTGCAATCTGGAGACTCCCTAACGAACAGCATCGAGGTTGAGGTGGGTTACCCCAACCAAAAATGTTGTTGCACATAATGGCTTGTGGAAAGCGGCATGAAAACCGTATGCCTGTAACCAGCTTTCTTGGAGGAACCGACAAGCCAGTACGATGCCCGAGTGGCGCAGCAGGCATGCGTTTTTGACATGGCCATATTTGCTGCCGGGTTCAGACTGCATTTTGTGTCCCCCCGGGTGTCATGAACCCAGGCTCGGCCGCGGCCTGCGGGCGCGCCGTCCAATATTTACGACGCGGAGATGTCCGTGAGCGCAAGCATGGTAAGTTTGGGATGCCGAGCAGTTCCGTATCTGGAGAACATGTGCATCAGATTTATGTTTGCCCAAACTGTGTACCGGGTTGCTGGTGCGACAAGGTGAAACTTGTCCTTCTGTGGACTGCCTGTCGCTAAGGCGTTTGGATTCCTATGTTACTGTGTTGTATAATATTGTGGCACGGCACGAGTTGTTTTCAACATTTTGGGATGGAAGATGCCCGTTAGTGGGCCCTGATAAGCACCGAATACATACTGTGGCCACGGGTTGGGTTTACGAGCTGATGATGGCAGGCTAGTGGATGCACAAGTGAACGGTAAGTACGCTGTGAACCTAGCGAGGGCTGTGGAGGCCAGAGCACGAACTCCTTATGAAACAACAATTGTCTTACGTGATCCTGCAGTGTCCGTCGAGTGCTGCCGTCAGTTCCACACGATTCTTGAAACGGGGACCTCCGGGTCAGGCCGGGCATAGGTGTAGCTTTAGAAGGAAACCAATGTAGCGATGTAAATGCGTGCGAGCGTTTTGGCAGCCATGTAGGAAAAGTTGGTGTTCGTCTTGAGCTTTACCTTCCTAATGGTTTAAGCTTTGAAGCATGATTACAGACAGTGTTCATATAATTTCACAAATGGACTACGGATTCCTTCTGCGTGCTTTGCTTTCAGGACGACGGAGCCTGGGGCGGAGGAGGCGGTGGCAGTGCTGCGCGTGATGACAAGTTGCCAGCCTTCAGCGTCAGCAAGGTGTGGAATGTGGCTGATTGCGATGCTATAGTGCCATTCGCAATGCTATACCGGGGTATGCATGGGCGTGTTTTGAGTGGCGGCGGAAAAGACACGAAGCAAGCAATTTTTAGTTGGACTAGATACATGTTAGTATAAAACCATGTTTTATGCTAAAGGAAATGCCGGAAACAGCTTCACGGCCACAGTGCAAAATGCAGGAAATGCGTTCCCTACGGAAGACGGCTCAGACACTAAGCGACTTCATCGTTGTGCTGCCCTGCATAGGCTGGGTGTGTGCACTGATTAACCTTCTAGAAATTTCCCACACGACCATGTAATCCACGTTGCATGCTTGCATGTGAAGTCACCAGATAGCAAATGGACAACACTATTCGTTTTTACACCGCCTTCTGCCGGTTGCAGGGCATCAGCATGGACTTGGGGGCCACAGGGTTGTCGGCATCAGATCGTTCCGGTGACATCGAACACATGGGGGTTGACTTCGCAGAGACTGCGGAATGGCACTGAATTTCACGGCTGCGCCAGAAGTGCGTTTCAGGGTTACCTGCAGGTCTGCTAGAGTGATGAGTGTGGATCCACGATACAATCGTTGAAGCTGGTGTTTGGGTAACAGCCTCCTTGTCACAACATAACAATCGTGAATTGCAAAAGTAAGAAGAATACATTGCATTCCTGCATTTGAACCTCGCACTGATACGTAAAGCCGTCCCTCCGTTACCCCGGAGATTTCTTGTCCGTTGTGCTTAAAGCCGAGGGTATCGTGTGCGTGCATGCGATTCTGTGCCAATTCATAAAGCGCTGCGTGACGCTTCGTCATATTACGTTTTCCTGCAAAGAGGTTTCCTTGACACACCTCGACAGTGGTTCATGTTTTCGTCCCGGCATGGACGCATTTCCATGAATTGGAGCTTACCGTACAAACATGTGGTTAATGCATGGACCTCGTTGTCCTAATAACTCCAAGAATCCTCAGCTACCAACTCTAGCAACCTTTGGCCGTGGCTGACAAGGTGGCTGATGATCGGTCCATATGTTTAACATCAATTGTGCCCTACAGTTTACGTCCCGGTCGCGAAGCTGTCCCCGCCTCACACAGCGCTGACCGAGCAGGGCCGAACGGATACGAAGGACAGAGCATGGCACAGGTCTTAACGGTCAAGATGAGTTATCAGCAGAAGCATATCGAGCCGGCACCGGGAAGCAGCCGCATTCTGGTCTCATAAGGTACAGCGAATAGGATACTGCCACCTACCGTAATCCGTCGTCACAAGAGCGTCTGGCCAAATATACGTTGCTGCTGGGGAAAGCTATTTGAACTGCGGCTCTGCGGTAGGACTGCTTGCGGATCTTCGCTGTCCTTACTCGTAAGAGCTAACAATTATTACTCGTTACGACAACCGAAACGCAGCTGCCCTGTGCTCCGCGGCAGCAATGGAACTCTACCGCGATAGAGTAGCAGCTCCTTCGACAAAATCTTTTTGTGGCACCGTTTCGCGACGCCTTCCTATTTCTTATGTGCTGTACCCCACAGTGAAGACCGCTCTATGTTGCATGATCGAGATAAGTAATCGAATGAACGAAAAAGACCGGATTGGCAGCCACCGTAAGGCGCCTCAACCGTACTACAAACCCGCGCATGGCTTGCTGCTGTAACGTTCACGCGCCTGGCTGCGTGGGTGTCCTTCGCTAGGAGTGTCTTCTCTGTGTGTGTGTGTGTGTGTGTGTGTGTGTGTGTGTTACATGGTTGGGGGTGCGTGACCCCATACCTGTAAAACTACCCTTACAAGCCGAAGGCTCAAGGGCAATATCTATACGCCTAAAAGCCAAGGAGAAAAGGAAACACCGCCCATCAGCCCAGACTAGCGTCCAAAGGGGATAACTGAGTTTCGGTGAGCCCACAGACGTTCCAACATCCTCGCCAGACGTACTGGTTCCCATTTCATGGCCTCCAACGTGCTCTGTTGATGATAGAATCCCTCAGCACGAATATCATTATAGGCTGGGCATTCCAATAACACGTGTTTTTCATCCTGGATTCGGCTATTAGTACCACAACAGCGGCAAAACCACTGCCCCCTGGGGACACGGTACTCGCCCCTTCGCGCTCTGATTGCCTCCAAAGCCCAGCAATATAAACGAAACTGCATTAGCTTACGATGTGCTAAACGAGGAATGAAAACCTTAGCATGTGTTGGCTACATGACGGCTGCGGCTCCCGAAAAGGGCAGCCCCATCCAGTGCTTATACTTCGCCATTTGCACTCCCGGTTGCTTCCCATCTGATGGGTACTCCTCTGGCAAGACAGTCAGACGCGTATGGTCCCAGCCGCTCATCAAACGCTCCCTTAGTGCCGTTATCATCGCTCCTTCGGGTAGAGGCCTACTCAACAACCAGTCAACACGCTCCTTTACCCCCATGACTTCTTGCGGTATTCCGCTCCAAATATTGCACTCCATGAAGGAAAACAGTCGTAACATTGAGGTTTCCCAACCCTCCCATTCCGGGTTGGTCAGAGCATCGGTTATCTCCTGCCGTAAAACTGCATGAGCAATGGACCCCACTTGCTTTTGAAGGCGGTTCCAGAAACGGAGGATCTGTTTCACCATGTAATACTGTAAGGGGAGTTCAGCCAGCTCCGCATACAACAGCCTGTGAGATGGCCGTGCCGTCCCCACTACCTGCCTCATGGATAAAATTTGCAGCTGGACTGCGCTATCCTTCAAACAGGCTTCGAACATGCCCTCCGCAAGGTTGGCTTTATCCCGCCGCCTTCCCGCCCTGTCCACGACCTCTGCCAGCGCAAAAGGGCTCCACGCCTGGCAGCCATACAACAGAATTGCTCGGACTTGGGTTGCAAAGTGCACGTCAGGGGTTGAACAGCTTCATTTTTTCCAGCTTTGCGCTTAAGGAAAACATAGCGGACCGACCTGTATCACATCACTGCTGACGGCACGCACTAAAAGGCCGTTCTGGCCCGTATACCAACCCCAGATAGCGAGTGCTATCTTTGGCAGGTACTACCTGGCCTGATAGCCGTAACTGTTGACATCTCTCGCTAAGTTCCGACTGCTGGGTGCCATCACATGCAAAAACAAGCCTTTCACGCTTTGAGACATTTGGTCGCATCCCAAAGGCTTCGCAAAACAATTCCACAAGATGTAGCAACTTAGACATTCGCTCTAGTGACGTCGCTAGCAGACTAACATCGTCTGCATACAACAGTATGGAGACGCGCTTGCTGTCCACAAGGGGTGTGTCATGCTTACGTACTCCAGCTTCTAGAAGGTCATGAGTATCAATCAGATCAGCTAGTGTCTCAATGAAGAGTTCAAATAACTCCGTAGATAAAGGGCACGCTTGCTTCACTCCTTGCTTAGACGCAAACTCTCCTCCCACTTTCTCATTTACCTTAATCACCATGGACACCTTCTCGTACGCTTTTCTCAGAGCATATAGCATGGGGCTGCAAATCCTCCTCTCCTGCAACCGCACTGCTGGCTCACATGTGCTCGCGAGGCACCCTATCAAAGGCCTTCTCAAAGTCAATCTGTACTATTATCAACGGCGGCTGCCCCGCGATCCGATGCCGCCTGACCAGGTGTTGCTTGACAAAGAGGTGATGCGCGGTGCCAAACCCCCGCCTGAAACCCGCTTGGGATGGGTGCCGCAGGTCCAGTGTTTCCCCAGCACGTACCAGACGGTTGAGAATCACTGACGCATATCACTTCGCAAGTGCTCCTCCAACTGCAATGCCCCGATAATTTCCTGCCACCAACGGGTCACTCTTAATAATTGGGGATACCACCGTTTTGGTAAACTGCTGCGGGAAGTCACCAGTTGCCCTGATGTGCTCTAACAAAACGGGCAGCACTGGGACGATACAGTTCACCTCGGTTCCCTGCCTTCCCTGCTCATCCACCCGTGGGAGACGTGCATAACGGTAGCTTTAACTAACCTTTAACACCCGTCTCCCCAACTCCTGCATTTATAACAAGGCGGCAAAGTGATCCCGAAATACATGCAAGTCGTCAATTGCACAACGCTCCCTGAGTTGCCCTCCCAAGGCCCGCCATAATGCGCGCTGATCGTGCCTGCACATAACCACAAACTCACGCATTCTCTCTGCATCATATGCTGCTCGGGCAGAACGTTTGGCACGATTCATTGCGTTACGTGCCTTGCGGAACGCTTCCCACAAAGGACCTGACTTATTCTCGACCCTGCCAGGGCCAAGCCGCACCCTGCAAGCAAGCATATGTTGCCGGGCGCTTTGGCATTCCTCATTCCACCATAATGCACCATCCCCCACTTGCATACCCTCAGGCCTGCGACCCGCAAAAACTCGAATCAGCACCTTCCGCAGGAGGGTACTAATGCGCTCCAACGACCCCGTGCTGTCGCAGGTCCCATTAGATAGGTCCGTGATCACCCCATTTAGTGCGAGCATGACCTGAGATCCCTCAGTGAACAGAGCGGCATAGTCACGATAACGGGAAATCTCAAACACTGCTCGCTTCTTTTGGCAGCACCGTTTAGACAGGAGTGTCTTCTGAGGGGCCGCGTCTGGCGTGGGTAGGTCTTCCCTCGGCTTTTGAGTGTGTAGTGGAGCCCCCTGAGTAGAGCCCCTGGCCCCGTTGGCGTTTTCTGTTTGTCCTTGCTTTGGTGTTCTCGAGGGGAGAGAGCGCACGATTAGGCTGGGCAGGCGGAGTGGGGGCAGGTAGGCTGCTTAGAGTTCTGTCGGCTCTCGCTTAGCTCAGCTCGCAGTTTTCTGCGCCGCTGTGTTGCCTAGCAAGGGGCTGGGAGAGCGCCCCGGCTGGCGTCAGTGAGCCGCGCGCGGAGTCACGGGACGAACCGCCCACAATGTAACACCCAATCAGTTACAGACGATGACCGTGGGAGAACTAATTACGGAGATGATAGGCCACCCAAAGGTATCACCATCAGTAAATATATATTTCGAATGATATGTTTGTGTGGCGAATCTACAGGCATACTGAGCAGGAAACGGGCAAGAGCCGTATAGAAGAAGAAATTGCATCAAGAAAGGAATTTGTGCAGGTCCTTCCAGTGAGAGTTGTCCTTATGTTCAATCAAAGAGGTAGATTCTTCCATTAATTCAAACGGGAACGAGAATACAGTAGACCCAGAGGCGCGTCTCTTCGTGCCACGCAAAGGATACAAACCTGAGAAGCGTCTTGAAATGAGCATGACGATTTGATGTGTCGCAACTTGGAATTTGTGCGATTTCATGCAATTTATTAGCACAAATACCTGCGTGGAACAGTCGAACGATCTCACAATTTGTGCACTTGGCCTTCTTCCTTTGTAACTCAAGAGACTCAATCGCAAGGGGTAAGCAATTGCCCTACGGGGCAGCAATTGCCCTACGGCACAGTGTACCGGTACTTGGACCAACCACTAAATGAACTTCTATGCTCATCCAAAGCCTTCTGTGGACGTCCGTTTGCAATCGAATCTTTATGTTGTAATGTTTGAAACTGGGAAATTTGTGAAAACCTGATCGTCCCTACCAGCTTACGAGTCCTACTTTGCCGCGCATTGCCGCGTGAGGCAGTACTATAGTCCAGGAGTTCACGCTTCATGAGGCACCTTGACGCCTTTATGAATCGGGAGGCATACGTACAGCAGACAGACTCACACTTACGGCAAAAGATGTTGCGTGAATAGACCACTAGTAGGTGTGAATAGACAACTAAACCGCTGCTGATCCCATGCCATTCGTTTTTTTCTAATTCCGGGTAATATATTATCTGAAAGCAATAGCCATACCTTGTAAATAGTCCCCGACCAGATACTAGCTGGAAGGAAGCCAAACACTACAGAATAAAAAAGCGAATAGGGCAGGCGGGTCGCGGCTTGCCAAATATTATATATAATTTAATAGCCGCTCTAGCTCCGTCCTACGAAGTGGTAAGCGTCGGTGATGTGCCGTACCAAATTCGATTGATTGAGCTGCAGGGCTGGAAGTAGCAGTAGTACAAATAGGCCCAACTTATCCTCGCGCCCACCTTTAGGTGCCACTGCGCTTAACTATAGTAGGGCTCCATGTCATAAAGTGAATCGCCAAAAAAACAATGGAAATTGTTTTGAGCGTTAAAACTGGAAAGTCCCTCCAGGTAGGAACGCCTTCATAGGCGGGGTTGTGGTCCAGTTCCACTATCACTCGTGGAACAGACCTATCTTAGTGTCCACAATATATTGCACGAATGGAAGCAAACGATTAATTATTGGTGGATTTGTACTTTGCAATGCTCAATGTGATAGCTATCCCAGTTGGGTTTCTTTCTAATGCATCATATTGTTCATCATATTGTAAACATAAATGCTGAATCGCCAATTTGTAACTTGCGGCTGCGCCATGAATGAGATATGCCCGCCTTGTACCTCGGTACGTACGATTGCAGGTCACCTGTTTTTTAATACAAACTTGGACAAGATAAAAAGTAAGCAGTTAAGGAGGTCCACAATTGTTATTTCGATGAATATTGTCAGTATCACAACAGTATGCCTAGCGTTCCCCACTCGCTGTGGCCCAAGTTCAGCAGCATGCATTTCTTACCATCCCCAGAATTAGTTAACCTAGGTTTTCGCAATAACCTTACAGCTAATAGAACTCAAAGCTATCGGGAGCAAGTTGCAAACGTACCTTCCACGAATTTGCCAAAAATCCTCTTCACCGCAAGCGGAAGCGGACGTAAAGCCCACGCAGCTCCAGCCGCCTCTTGAGGCCCACCTACCCCAGGTACTTCAGGAAAAAAAACAGGTAAAGTACTATCAAATGGGCGCGGAAGGATTTAAGGATGAGTTGGAAGCCATGTGACCTGTTCAAGCTCTGCATTAATGGACCATCCATGCACAAATGCAGATCATTCATATCCACCCCGCTGCCTCATGTCCCCCCGGGAGGCCGACCCTCAACAGTACATGCACCGATGCCTTACCGCCGGGATGTGGAGGTAAGACCGACACGGTAGAAAAGCTTTTTCGTGACCATAAGCGGGGAAGTGTGTTGGGTGTGGAATTGCGGTTCGTCCAGTGTGCGGTCTAGCTGCTGGTGAGCTTGCTGACCCAAACACCGTTCCTGGCCGCGAGCATCATGGGCGGGCTTCAGATGATGCGCGATAGGCACCACAGTTGCCGCTTTCACAGCAAGTGGAATGTCTTGAAAGGGGTCTAACGCCGGGGCTGCATCCACAGCAGCTGCCGGAGGAGCGTGACGAAAACGGCAGAGACGACTGTAGTCTGTGAAGCCGTGTGCGCACGTGTCCAAGGAAAACCCGGGTGTGGGAGGTCCGCCATGCGCCCATGGGGCTACCGCGTTTACAAAGGTGTGCAGGACGTACATCATCCTCTAGGATGGTGTCTGCATCTGCACAATACAATCATCCTCGTGTAACGCTAGATGGCCCTGGACAGAGGCGTGCAGGCGAATACGAAGGCCCCGAGCGACCATGCCCGAGGGGCGGAAGAGAGTCCGGCTGGTTGCTGAGGCGAGCGGGGAGAAGATACTCCCCGCAGGACACACAAGGGGTAGAGAGAGACAACCGCATAGGAGGTCAGGAGTGTACCTTGCGGCCGATTTGCCTATCCAGCTCACCAGCAGACGAGAGTAGAATTTGCGGTGGTTAGCTCATGTTGCCTTGTTGCTGACATAAACGTCAAAGAAGGACCTGCATCGTGAATAATTCAATATGTCTTGTCGTTTATTCCATTTGGAAAAACGGAAAACATTTGATTTTTGCGGGATACGGAAGGGGGAATGGCCCTGAATGGCTGAGGAGAGCTTATCCCTGCTGGTATCGTTTTCGTCCTTACTCGTGCACCCAGGTCAAGTGGACGCGGTAATATGGAAACCAGCAGCTCAAAAGATCGTAAAAGATGTCGATGGCCTGTTGAAACTTCAGCGGCGTTCCGCAGCTACAGAAACATTTAAATAAACTCCGGTTAGGATAGCCGGATAGAGGGTATGGAAGCAGGCGCCTCGCGATAATCCATTAACTATTTAAACCAGCAGCTCACTGCGAAGAAGCTTGGGCAAAATGCTAGGATAGGATCGCTGGGTGTAATTATGGGCAAAGTGTACGATGTTCATCAGCAGCCGCAAAAAGAGCAGGTGGGCGCAGCGCCCGCCGAATGCATTGTAAAACAAGAACTATATTGTGTCACGACAAGCTGATTGATTGCAACTATCCGTTATCCTGGCTATTGGTAGAGTTATTAGAGCAGGGCAGGGTCTCAATCCTAAATGCAGCGAGGCTGCATTCTGACGGCAAATAAAATTTGAGAGCGTAGCCTTTTAATTTTACTAGATGTGGCTAATAATTGAATGGCACCTTGCTGAAAACATGCCAAACGAACGAATCACGAACCTCATTTTGTAGGGGCTAACCGCTCGGTGCCTGCTGTTACATCTGCCAAACTACTATCATAGTGTTCTTACGTGCAATTGTAACATGACAAAAACAGTGTTAAGTGCTCCTGATGAGTTTCGCCGGAGCGAAGGTAACCCAATTAGGCAACCCTAATGTCAGACCGACATCGGCGGGATATCGATGGGAGGCCAATTTCACAAGGGCATTTTCCAGTCAGAAGGCAAATTACACGGCAATATGAGAATGGCAGGAGGTTGGGGACTTTGGGGCTTGGGGAGCTATTAGGCAGTTTGAACGCTTTTGGACTGCTATGCATCTTATGACAAGAATTGCCGCGTACCTAAGATTCTTCTCTTATCTACTTATTGCTTCCAAAATATGCGCATTTGCCATGATCCTTTAGATGATGTGTGAAATTAGCACAGCGAAATTGCTGACACGCGTACTCGCTTGTCAGATCGGAGAGTTCACACGGTTCACATATTGGAAATTCACTGTTTAGTTTTCGCATGGGTAAGAGTAGGCGAAAGCTATTCAGAGCTAGGTAGCTAAGCTGCTACTGAAGCACGTAAGTCTGTCGTTTCGTTTTTCCCGCCGCCTGCTCTGTAGCTCCTCTACGTGATCGACTTTTGCTACTCGCATTGCTCCGCTAGCTGTCGCTCACCTATCTGATTACTAAAAAATGGTTTTACTTACCCGAAAGGTTTTAGCGTTGCCCTCACAGTCGACTCGCCACCCCCTAAGGGCGAAATAATTTGGTTATCCCTGTCGTTAACTCTGTTTCTGCATTGGCTAGACTACGATCGAGTAAAACGTTGGATTTTTGAAGGAATGCACGCAGTGCGCGCCTTAGTTTTCAGCCATACCATCCAATCTTTGCCGTGCGACCGAGGATGGACTGGATTCAACTTGAACGCAAACTGCTGTCTTGTTGCGACTTGATAACCTCAGGGCTTCATTCTCGCGTGGACAGCAGCATTCGAGGGCGCATTCAACGGGTTGCGGCTGCGGCCGTTGCCCTCAAGCGGTGGATCCCCTCAGGCGATATCTCCACTCTTGTGCTTTAGGGCCTTGATGGTCCCTAGCCATTCATCAACTGCCGCTATCCCGCCGCCGTCCGCACCCTCACCGCGCAGCCTGAGAAGAATTAATGGCACGCTGTCCGCCGCATTGCTGTGGCTATTGCAGCAGCTGCTGCTCTCCACAATTGATAGCACTGCGGTGGCTGCAGCATCGCCCCCACCTCCCCCAGCTACCTTTCCTTGCAACTCAAGCGCCGCCCGCCTCCTCCATCGGGGCGTTGAGATCACTGACCCTTATGAGGTGCCTGCACCCATCCGTTCGTCCGTAACAGGTGATGTACTCATTATCGAGTCACTGATTTCAGCTTCCCCTCACCGACCTCAGAATAACATAGGCTATCCGCACTACTACTTTAATGTGACAACCGAAACTTCCGTTAATTATTATTTCCGTGTGTTCACGTACCCTGAGTTCAACCGCCGCTTCAATGGCTCGCGGGGCTGCTCTCCACCTGACCTTACGGAAATGACGGTGTCCGACTATATGGACCTCAGCGCACGTCTTGATGTTCCCTGGGGAGAAAGCGTCGTCTACCCAATCATGCATGGCTTGATCCTTGCAGCAAGGGATGTCGACGCCGCGGAGTATCCTGATTGCGTGCCGAATCCATTCTACGTATTCGGCCTGATACATCCGGTAGATATCGAAGACAGTACCGTGACAGGTCCCGACCACTGGGTTAGCACGGAGTGGGTGGCA